ACATTAATTCTACTCTTGTCTCTACACTCAGGCTCTGGATGGGTTCTTTATAGCAATAATGACTGATGGAAACATCCTCTATATCTCCGAGAGTGTTACCTCACTACTAGAACACCTACCAGTGAGTATAACAAATTCAATGACAAAGAATATCGCGTTTGTCTCTAAAATATAATTTATTTAAATATTATTTTGTGTTACCTTTCTCAAACTGTTGGGAAAATTAAAGACCAGGATGCAACAAACGTTGAAATTATCAGAATTGGTTTGTTCTGTGTTCTCAAGCTTGTAACCATCTTACTTCAGGCTGACTTGGTGGATCAGAACCTGCTGAATTTCCTGCCTCTTGGTGAACACTCTGACGTGTACAAGGCTCTGTCCACACATCCCTCTGACACAGAGAACCTGAACTCCGATTACCTAAAAAGTCAGTTATACCTACTCACATGAGCCAATGCTATTTGTCTGTATATTTACACCATTTAAACATAACATGCTTGCATGCATGTTTCTCTTTAGTTCATGTTAATTTGTATTTGTTCATAAAGTCAGGCCAGAAAGTAACACTGTATTTCTACCTATACTATGTCTCTGTGAAGGATTACAAATGATCCACACTTAAAGGCTTTGTAGCCAATTTTGTTAGCTATAAATCTCATCATCTTTTGTCAGTTAGAAAGCAATTAGTGAGGTATTATTAGAATTATCTTGGTAGAATTATCTTGGCCTTCAGCCAATTTTGAGTTGAACAACTGGCAAGCTAGCGGCTTATATTTTTGCAGTCTTTACCAATGTGTGTTAAATATTTGCTTTGTGTTGCTGTGTTTTGAATTCTCTCCAGATAAAAATCACATGGAGTTCTGCTGCCATATGTTACGTGGGGCTATTGATCCTAAAGATCCTCCCGTTTACGAATATGTGAAGTTCATCGGCAACTTCAAGTCACTCAACAATGGTGAGTCATACTATTGTATTCAATGAAACTGTACATTTGATTAAAATTAGAATTGCGGTCGGTTACCTGCCATACATTCACAGTGTTTGCTCATTGCATTTAACCAATCAAGTGAACATTACAGACTGTGAAGCTCTGGTTGGCTGCATAAAAAGATATGATGGGCATGATTCAGCCCACAGGCTTCGAGTTTGACACACGCGATCTAAAACCACTTTTCCACTACAAACAAAACAAAGTATGTTCCTGACAATGTGTCACAACCTCTTTACACTGGGCCTATTTTTACAGCCATCTGCCCGCATCTGCAAACCTGCTGTGCTTTCTTTTTGTCTAGCTGGGTTTCTGTTAGGTTTCTTTTAATCCTACAATAGTTGATGACACACCTAGAGCATGATGATGTCAGCACATCACACCCTCATTGAAGCACTCAAGCACGAGTTGTGATTGTGATAGGCGCCTATAAAGCAAAATGTATTATCATTATTATAGGTATACATACATATACATATTTTTTTTTCATTTTGTAAATGAAGTTTTTCTGTGTGAAATAATGTTTGTGTGATTCAGCCACAGCCTTGCTGTCGGACCTGCGTGAGATGGTGTGCTTTTTATGGCAGTGACTCAAATATGTAACATTGCTCACTGTGCTTTCTGCTGTTTAGTTCCTAATGCGACAAGGAATGGACTGGCAGGAGTGTTGCAGCGGTCACTACAGCCCGCCTTCGATGACCAAGTGTGCTTTGTAGCCACAGTCCGACTGGCTAAACCTCAGTTCATCAAGGTATACAGCAAAAGCACACCCAAAACACACATATTTTTTATGAATAATACCAAATGCATTATGAATATTTTTTTAAAAGATATTTTATGCAAAACAAAAAATATGCCTGTTTCTATATGGCAACAGCATACTACATATGTAAACTGCAATGTCTGTGGACAAGGTGGTGGATCTAATTGTTTAAATATTTGCAGGAGATGTGTACAGTGGAGGAGCCCAATGAGGAGTTTACCTCCAGGCACAGTTTAGAATGGAAGTTCCTCTTTTTAGACCACAGGTAAACGACCAGCAATGCTTCCTGTACTTTAAACATGCAAATGCACAGCACTCAAATGGATAGATAGAACTTTATTTCCTTGAGAATACATGGAATACACAGCCTTCTGATCAGAAGAGTTATCCTAAATACAGAAACTACCAAAAAACACACATTTACACTATTTACTTTGCTGCAATATTTTCTGTACTTCTTTGTTCCACTTCATTATTTGTCTGCAGTACTCCAGTATTCCTTAGAGTAAAACCTTTTTTTTCTCAACTTCAGAGCTCCTCCAATCATAGGCTACCTGCCTTTTGAGGTTTTGGGAACATCAGGGTATGACTATTATCACGTGGATGACCTGGAGACACTAGCAAAGTGTCATGAACACTGTGAGTGAAGTATTATATTTACTTTTTAATCTATCTAATACTTTTAAACCTTTTTTTGTCTTTAATATATTTGCGTTTTTGTCACCGTCAACCTTTGTCCTTTTCAGTAATGCAGTATGGTAAAGGGAAGTCCTGCTACTACCGTTTCCTGACTAAAGGTCAACAGTGGATCTGGCTGCAGACTCATTACTACATAACCTATCACCAGTGGAACTCTAGACCTGAGTTTATTGTCTGCACACACACAGTTGTCAGGTACAGACTACTCTTTCTCACTTATTTCCAGATGATTGTAATAAATACCGAAGAAATACTGCCCCCTTTCTTTAGGTCTGTTTACTGACAACACAGCATTGTCTGTACTGTTCTGTTAGACCAGTGTTTCGCTCTATATATGCATCCTGACCCTCTCTGTGTTATTCTCTAAAATGCAGCTATGCAGAGGTTAGAGCAGAGCAGCGTAGAGAGCTGGGCATTGAGGAGTCAAATCCCGAGGTCACTGTGGATAAGGTGAGAAACTGGAAACCACTGCAAATAATTATGTGGGCGTGATCAGGTTTTTAAATATGTATGATCCTTGTTACTAAAGCACTAACAAAACACATCCTTTTTAAAGCAAGAAATGTTCTTGTTGTTGCTATTGTTGAAAGGCCTCTGCAATGAAGGCTACCTGCTCATATGTGTAAACAAGCTCCTACAAGAGGAAGTGTGAAGTCTGTTCTTGGTGCCTTTTATTACTACTACTATCACTGTTTGTGTTATTGTTTTGCACAGTGCACATGTTTTTCCATTATGGCGATGAATTGTATTTTCCCTCCGGTTTAATGTTTAACCAGAACAAACAATAGCCACTTGGTCAAAGAGTCGACATTTAACATTTTATTGTTGACTATTTATTTCCCATTTATTTCTGCATGTAGAGTCAAGACTCTGGCTCTGAGTCACAGCTGAATACATCCAGCCTCAAGGAGGCGCTAGAACGGTTTGACCACAGTCGAACACCCTCAACGTCCTCACGAAGTTCCCGGAAGTCCTCTTCCCATGTCTCTGACAACACTTGCACCTGTAGGGACAAGCACACACACACACACACGCGCACACAATCAGTTAAATGTACTTTTGATTAAACCAGATTATTGTTTACCTTTGGTTCTTTCTCTGCAGCAACAGCCTCAAAGCTACACATGGACACTGCCACACCTCCTCGACAGTCTCTAGCTTCCACCATGGAGATGACACCACAGCGTCGCTCATCTATCAGCAGCCAGGTGAGATATTTCTGGTCCACAGCATTTATACCTGACCAACAAAGCCGTTGTTTGTGGCGAATAACAATTATTTGGTAAATGGGTGGGAATTAAGGGTTAATCCACATTCCAGTTGTCATTAAATTGTTTATTCTTTGTTTTTACAGTCAATGAGCTCTCAGACCACAGGTCAGAGTGTGACTCCAGCCATGATGTCACAACACATGATGTCACAACACCAACACCACCACCAACACCAGCAGCAACAACAACCACAACAACTACAGCCAAGCGTCCAGGTAAAGTTTAGTCATTTATATTTTATAATTTAACAATTTGGTCATTGGAAAATGTTAGTTGATGAATAATTAAAAATACGAGCTGCCACCTCACTGATTTATCGACAGTAGGTGTTGCCTACAACACACACACACCAGGGTTATTTCTGCACAGTTATAAAATACGTTATGTTTTCTCTCCACCCACAGCCGGTGATGGAGTTCTCTGCACAGGTGAATGCAATGCAGCACCTTAAGGAACAGCTGGAGCAAAGGACCAGAATGATCCAGGCCAACATCCAAAGGCAGCAGGAGGAACTGAGGCACATTCAGGAGCAGCTGCAGAGAGTGCAGGGACAGGGCATACAGGTGTGGTGCAGAAGCCTGGAGGAACTGTGACGGCAGCAGTTCTACATACTCATGACTTCCTAAAGTAGTTCACGCTTGAAGCCTTTTTTTATTATGCTGTAGAGCATTTCCCCGTCGCCCGTTCATTACACACACTGCGAGTACATAATTAGCAACCTGACAGCAGAGAGGTTTTATTCCACGGTTAATGTGTCAGCCTCTACGGCTAAACCATCTATTTAAAGTTTAGTGACAGCTGTAAATTAATCCTCACACGTTTTTGGTTTTACTACAGTGCTGGCACCAGACTTCAGAGAAGTTTAAGCTGCTGGGAAGGTGTAACTAAAGTTAACCTGGAGTAGCCTCCCTTTTGAGTTTTGTGCTGAACTGCACCAGTTATCTTTTTTGTACTCTACTTTTGTACAGTTTCTTTTTAAAGGTTTGATCATGTTTTAAACTGTGTTCCTTATTCTCTTCGTTTCTTTACCTTATTTAATGATCTGACAAGTGCAACACGAAACACATTGTTTATTTATTAGATAATAATATAATAGTGTAACCAGCTTTTCTTAAGAGAATGTGGAAAAAAATACAGATCACTGAAAATGAAAATGTGGGTTTGACTATTTGTATAGAGAGTCAGCATTGTTTTTAAATTTAATCACAAACTCTCAATGACATTTCTCTTTTTTGACTGTCAGGGTCAGTGCTAGTTTGTGCCCCTTTGTTTGTTTTGTTTTCCTGTGAGGGACATATGTAAAAACTTCAAACAATTGTTAAAAAATACCTGCTTGATGCACATGTGGTTTGACATGTGCTATTTTGACCATACAGATGTTGCTGCAGCAGCAGGGTGGAGCCATGAATGTGCAGCTCCCTCAGGTGGCCACAGTCCAGCAGCCCTCCTCTATGACCAATCAGGTTCAACAAACCACAATGAACGCCATCCATCCAGGAAATCAGCAGCTCACTATTCAGCAGCAGGCACCCACGCCTCAGCAGCAGCAGCCCAACACTCTCACACAGGTGGGACACACACAGCATGCTTTTTTTTAAATGCAAATTGAGGTCAGAACTAAATCCCCTGGTTGCATTTGTATGTAAAGCTGTTTTTTGTTTTCAATTGTAGGATTTAATTGGCCATAGAACAATAACAAAGCAGTGCTCAGTAAGGCTCTTTGGTTCATTTAATCATGTGATCATTTAATCAATTGTCTGGATGGTAAACCTTATACATTGTTGTTTTCAAATGTATATGTACCGCTTTAATTAAATATTCAACCAACATTGTAGAAGGTCTGTCTCCCCCTTCTGGCTGTGAGAAAAAATTACCTCACTGTTTTTAGTATCTATTTTTCAGTTCAGTTTAAAATAAATGGCACCTTTTTTTCAATGCTCAGGTAATATTGGTTTATTTTCAGGCCCAGCGTCAGCCCCAGCAAACTGCCCAGAATCAGCCTCAGACCCAGGGCTCTGTATCTGCTCCACTCTACAACACAATGATGATTTCACAGCCAGGTCAACCCAATGTGCTGCAAATTAGCACCAGCCTCCCACAGAACAACACACAGCAGGGCACCACTGTGGCAACATTCACACAGGATCGACAGATCCGGTAGGAAGACGACACCCAGAGCATGTGCTCACATAAATACTGCACAATATAAAGAGGAACCCGTTGTGACTTAGCTGTTCTCTTTGACTTGGCATGCAGTACGACACATTTGTACTGTAATATATTTTCCTTCGTTGTTATGTCGTGTCTATCTCAGGTTCCCGGCAGCGCAACAGCTGGTGACCAAACTGGTGACAGCTCCGATGGCGTGTGGTGCTGTCATGGTGCCTACCTCCATGTTTATGGGCCAAGTAGTCACTGCATACAACCCTTTTGGTGGTCAACAGGTAAAGAACCCAGTCATGTGACTAGAAAAATGATTGAAACAGATCAGTGCAGAGATCAGGGCTGAGTGTAATGTCAAACATGGGAGAAGCTGTTCTGTCCCAAAAGACTGTAGTTAAAGTGTGAGGCTTTTAACCAGGGATGAAATTTTTTTTTCATCAGTTATTTTACTTCTGAAAATACTTTTAACCAGGGATGAAATTTTTTTTTTCATCAGTTCTTTTACTTCATTTTGGACATAGTTAGAGATAGAGGCTGTAAGAAAATGAAGAAAATAAGGCTTGAAAGACATGAAGAAATACTCACGTCTTTCACTAATTCTACTCTGCAGAATTAACTGCAACATCGAAATATGTAAAAAAACAAAAAAACAACCTGGTGCATGTTATCTATTAAAAAATTCTATTTTGTACTAAATATCATTTATTCTACCCCAGGATTTGTCTTGGTTAACCTCTGTGTTGTTTTTTAGCAGGGGGGGCAGACCCAGACCCTGACTCTGCAGCCAGCCCAGCCCGCTCAAGGTCAACCTGACGGTCAAAACCAGTCAACTGTCGTGGCTCCGACTGGCCAGCAGGGGCAGCAACAACAGCAGCAGTTTTTACAGGTATGAGTAAAGATCAGAATGTCACTTGAGTTGTTATTAATTTTTAGCACAATCTATCACTTTATATATTTTATAAATTCTTATAAGAAGGAGAGGTTGTCATGTGGTTCTGCTTTCATATTAAAACCTTAAGTTGAAAAATGTTACCATCATTTGCATTGATGGACAATAAAAAAATTTCTTTAACATTTACTATTTAAGTCTAGATGATTTTCTTTTTTTTCTCAATAAAACCTTTTTAAAACTGAAAGGACGAAAGGAACTTCATTGACAGATAAAACGCAGGTTGTGATCTGGTGTCAACGACATCCAACAGAACCTCCATCTGTGGAAGTTTTAAGACCAAAATAGAGGCTGTGCAGAAAAATAGATTTGTAATTTTCATGAAGACCTTCCTTAAATGGTCTCAGACTCACTAGAAAAATCCACTTGACATTACGGCTCAATTGTTGTTCTCTGTCGTCAGGGCACTCGTCTCCTCCACAGTAACCAGTCCACCCAGCTGATTCTGCAGGCAGCTTTTCCTCTCCAACAGCAGGGCACATTTACCCAGGCAACGCAACAGCAACAGCAGCAGCAGCAGCAACAACAACAACAACAACAACAACAGCAGCAGCAGCAAAGGCAACAGCAGCAACAGTCTCACCACCAGAGGCACCAGCAGCAGCTGAAACCACAGCCGCAGAAACAACAGAAAGCTCCGTCATCGCACAGGACTGACAGTATCAGCAGCCAACCGCAGTGAAGTCTGCTGGAAAAGTTCACTCATTCAAACTGTTAAAGGAGTCATACACCTGTTTGCTCTGGTCACATGGCTGCCACGAACCGAGCACCAGAGCTCTTCCACCCTGTCTCCAGTGGAACGAAATAAACCATAGGAAAAAGAAAGGAAGAAGTCCACTCGGAACTTACGGGGGATTGTCACCATGGCAACACTGCAGCTTGGAATCACATTTTCCTTCCTCCAGCCTCAGTAGAAACCACAAAAAAAGAATCTAGAGAACACCTTTTTGCCACGGTAACGAAAGACTCCTCAAAGGTGGACCAGGGTGGACCCATCTTGTACAGAAGAAACTGTATGATGTAAAGACAACGTGTAAATATCCAGTATAGCTTAACAAGAAACAGAAATGTAGTATTTTATATGACTGCATGGAACAATTTACTGTGTAAGCTTTTAATAGTGGCTTTTAAAAAATATGACATTTATACTTTCTTCAGCTGTCGTCTGGTCAAAAAAGGAGCAAAGACTCCGCCCACCCCCCAACCTCCCACTTAACCTCGAAGAAACACAACAAAAGTCCAGGATAAGGCTTTAAAACTCGGTCAGTTTGTTGAAGAAGAAAAAAAAAGGTTGGGCTTGGGTCTAGTTTGTGTGGAAGTTGCATTCAAGTCTTTAAGACAACAGTGGCTCTTTTTACCTTTGCGGTTCTACAGATGGCAAGGAAGGTGATTAAGGTTAATAATTTTGATAATTTGTGTCAGGGTTTTAGTGATTCCAAGTGCCAATGACAAAGTCCATTATGGTTGTTTTGTTTTGTTTTTCAAGCAGACTATTCTAAGGCGTATATATTTTTCAACAAAATATTACCCCGATAAAAAGTGTGGGTGTGTGTAAATAACAAGGGATTATTTTTTAACAGAGAGCCCTATACATTACAAAACAGTATATCCTCAACCTGAAACTTTAGCACTTGATGTGGTTGTGTACAGAAAATCACTATTGAGACCTAGCTGTTATAAATCTGTGGTGTGAGTCTGTGAGCTAAAGTGAGTGTGTGTGTGTGTGTGTGTGTGTGGGTGGGTGTGCTTTTAGGGAACACAATCTTGTGTATATGTGTGTGTGTTGTTGGCATGAGCGTATCTGTGGTTGTGTGTGTTTGTCGCCCCCTGTGTCTTACAAAATTGACTCTTAGTAAGGGTTGGAAGTTGCTGGATGGTACTAGTATTCTCAGGAATGTGGACAGTTTTGCTTCCGCCTCAGTCTGGAACCAAACCAGGGAGGAAGAGTGTTGCTGCGAAGGTCAGAGGAAGACTTTCTAGATGACAGAAAAGGTTTGACGTCTTCCCAGTCAAACCTGAACCACAGCTGCTCGTCTTTTGTTTTCTTTCTGAAGTAAAAGTGGTTGTTGGCACGCTTCACAAGGAAGAGTGTAGAGAGGTCCGATCATATATGGGATTCAACCCTGGTCAGCTTTTCAGTTGGAAATCAAGTGACTTCATTGCACCAGCAAACCTCATTGTTCTGTAAACTCAGCGTTCTTTCACTTCCCTCAGTTCTCAAACAGCAGTCAAAACCAGGACTGGGACCAGGGTTCATTTGAGAAAAGAAAATGGACTTGGTCTCCAGTCCTGTACTACACTTGTAAGCCATATCAAACAGAAAAGCTTTGGTTTGGAGGGAGTGAAGTGGTTGGCAGCGGAGCATTTAGAATGTTTTATATGGTCTCCTGTCGTGAGTGTGAGTGTGAGTGTGTGTGTGTGTCCGTCCGTCCGTCCTCTTCTTGATTCTTCTCGTATCACTTTGGGGTCAGTATTCTTTCCCCTGGAGATAGCCAATCAGTTCTTGCATTGCAGTATAAAGTAGTAATTGAAATATTCATGAAACCTCTTCTGTGGCTGGGCACAGTATTCTGGTGGCCCAGGTGTGTGTGTGTGTGTGACAGCTGAGTACATGAGAGTACGTGTGAGAGAGAGACGTGTGTGTGTGTGTGTATATATGTTTGTGTGCATGTAATTGTCACTGTAACCTGTTATATTTTCATACAGAAGTGTGTGTGTGTTTGTGTAAAGAATGGATGTCAGGCAATGCAGAGCATTGGTCGCCTGTCGGACTAAGAAGGGCGCTGTTGATGTTGTCGTTCAATGACAAACTGCTCAGAGAAACATTTTCTCATTATCTTCTCATCAGACCAGTCTGCAATAGTGAACCTCAGAATCGCAACTGTTATAGAAGAAAGTAGCTGTGGGTGTGAGAGGCCTCTGTGTGGGGTGTTTCTACAGAGGCAAAAAAAAAAAAGATAGTGAAGAGACTTCACGCTGAGGGTCCTACTGCTCAAAGCAGGTCTTCCACCCGTCACATAGCAAATACAGATTCTCTAGAGAATAGTTTATGTCTGAAGCATCTCTCAAAGGGGTGTGATGGTTAAATCTTTATAGTTTGTGTCACTGATACCCAGCCCAAAGAATGTAAAGGCGTTTGGAGGAGACTTGTGGATGTTGTAACTGTTGATTATGGAGAACCTTTGTGATGAAGGAAAACGAGGGGTCTATGATGGAAAGAAAACGAAAAAAAGAATCCATGCATAGATTCAAATGTACAATCTTTTTCATGTGATTTGCATCGTTTAAAAAAAAAATAGTACAAAAAACGAATCTAAATGTTACACCAATTAAAATAAAATGTTCCTGTGCTTTCAGCAGCGGAAATGTTCTGCTAACATCTGAGAGAAGGGGAGAGAGGAAGGGTGAGGTGTAGGGTGTTAGAAATGAGAGGCCGCTAACAAAGACAGTGGGGCCCCTTCACACGGATCACGTTTCCACCTCTAAATTAGTTGTAAAATGTAGGAGTTCACACAACTCAGTTCACCAGTATTCAGTGTAACATGGTGCTATGCTCACCTGTACTGTATGTACTGTATGTACCCCCTCCCTCCTCCTCTTCCTGCTCTTGAATTGTGCTCTTTTATCTACGGGTGTTAGAAATGTTATAATAATCAATTTTTGAAACAAAATGTTTGCCATATTATTATAACCCCCTCTGCCCTATTGGTCATTTTGAAAATAAATTTTAACAGTTGCAAATATCCTCTGGGACCCTCGTCTGGCTGAGTATCTGATGTAGTGTTGGACAAATACAGACCTCTGTTCAGGTAAATGGATCTCTCACATTCTGAAGGTTGTTTTTTTTTTGTCTTATTTTCTTTCATTTTTGTGCACTTAATTTTATATTCTCATTTAAATTTTTAGCACAATTGTCATCTTCTATAATCCCATTACATTTTAGGAAGTCTGGAGCCAATTAGTGGAAGGTTTTCTATCACAGGACGACACACGGAGACATGGGAGGGAGGAGGAAACTGGATTATCTGGACCACCCACAGACATGAGGTGAAAATTCAAACCCCAGGTAGGAAGATAATCACCTGCTAGAGTGGGAACCTGAATGTTCTTGCTGAAAGGCAGTGATTCTCAATTATTTTCTGTCATGCACCCCCACTTTGGGATAGAAACGTTTTCACACCCCACACCCTTGCAGAATGAAGTACTATCGAGAACCTGATAACATGTATATTTTTATCTGTATAAACCATTGTGAGAGTTGCTGCCACCTAGTGACTGGAGGCTTGTCATCATTCAAGCATTACCCCCACTATTTGTGAAGTACTGCTGTAAGGCAAGAGCACTAACCGCACTACCACTGAATTTTTTTTTTACAAGTTAAGCTCTGGTCAGCCATGTGAAATGAAGTGAGGGGTCAGATTCGTTCAGTTTGAAATGTGTGCTCTAAATTGTGGGAATGTGATTGTGACTGGTTGGTTGTGTCTTTATGTGACTCTGTAGAGGTGTAAAAAGTGCAGGGTGTACCCGTCTATTACTGATAGGATTAGCTCAAGCCCACCGCAGTCATGAAAAAGATTAAGTAGTAGATGAAAATTAATGAATGAATTACAATTTTTAAAACGTCCTCATAAACTTACCATAGGCCGCTGCTGATTTCTGACCTTGTCTAATCCTGAGTCTCCTCCTCGTTTAGAGTCAGAAATTCAACGAAGAAGGAATTGGACACTTCCCAGTGGTTCTACCATCACAGGTACTTTATTATCACAAGTCAACCGACTGTATCAAAACAGCAAGAACCTTAAACCTTGGACAAAAGCTCTCATTGGACTCTTCTCACCACAACAATGCATTCAGTGTTTCCAGGACAGAAAAGTCTAAAGGCACATCTCTATAGTATTTACAGAGAATACATGATTGACATGAATCAAGTAAAAACACTGTCACATCCACACGGAACTTCGCTGAACACCGACTAAACTAAGGCAACCCTGTAGTACATGTACACTTTTACGTACACCAGTGAGAGGTCACAGTATTCAAGTCTACAACTCTGCTGTGCTCAAGCGTAACAGGACGTAGTGTCAGGCTGAATATGAGCCAATCGTCTCCCACTGCTGACCTAATGGATGGTTCGTGCTGCTGTCAGCTCTAAATGGACATGCACCTGAAATATCTGGTCTAATGGTCATTACAGTCAGTGGGGACACTTATAGAGGACAATACGTAGAGCTCAGTGCAGTGTTGTATATGTATTTATATATATACACATATATTTATATATATATATGTACAGTGTCAGTGTGTGTGTGTGTGAGATGAAAATGCCAACATTTGGAAGTTAGTTTGAGTGAGTGTGTTATTTATGGTTCAGTGTGTTTTAACTTTGTGCAGTAGAAGGAGTGATGCAGAGGGAGGTGGTATTAGTGTGTATACGCCTGTACCACGTAACTGTACGTGTGTGTCAGACATAGTCCAGGAAGACGTCAGTCGAGCTCTGCAGTAAAGGCTGAGTGGGTGCCGTGGTGCTACAGACGGAGCTGAGCCTGCGTGATGGCACCCCCTGCTGCTCTGAAGGACCCGGAGCATTGCTAAGTGTCAGGTAAACCTGAAAAACAAAAAGTATGTTTATATGAAACTGGCGGCCCTGGATTTTGTGCATCCACAAAGTATTTCGAAGTAAAAAAAATATGTTGATTCTTACATTCTTGGTATTTTCAGACAGCAGGAGTTCAGTCCTTTCTACTAACTTTCTGAAGGACGGTCTTTTTAAGGGATCATGGTTCCAGCAGGACTGCATCATGTTATATCTGCAGAAGAAAGACTGGGATGAGTTTCAACTCTTAAAAAAAACTTTACTTTACTTTTTCATACCCCACATTTTACGACTGTTCAAATACAACAAAAACAACTTCAATTAATGTTGTGTCCTCTGTGTACGATTGAAACGATTTAAAGGTGCTGCGGAGTCTCTAAAATTGGAATCTATTCATTTTAAATCATTTTAAATGTTCGTTCGGCTGCAAGGTTCACACTTGAATTGTTTTTTTATTTACATTTATTGTATTGAAAATGATCTTGTGGTTTCTTATGGTTTTTATGGGTGAAGCAGTTGCTCTCCGTCTGCCTTAGATAATTTATAGAAGTTTGTTTTCTCTTCATTTCCATTTCAAGTGGTGTTGGCTGTGGAGACAGACATCCATGTTCTGCTGCTGCTGAGTATCACAGACGTTGATGCCAAACTGGCGACAACTGCAGCTGGACATTAGTGCATTAGTCGTGATGACCACAACAGAAGGAGCCACATCGTCTTTGAGGTAACACTTCTTTGTGTGCGTGTAGACACGGTCAAGAAAACCTGCTGAGGTTTAAACTCAGAATATCAGAATGGAGAAGCGACGTGTGACTCTAAATGTAACTGTGTGGAATATTTAAAAAACTGAATACCTACCAGCAACTTTCAACATTTCTCCAGGATTGGTCCAAGAGAATATTCTAGGTTTTCTGAGTGTCTACAGTCTGTCGATAACTGAGGTCTATTTGTGCTTGAGCCGCGTTTCCGACGTTAAAGGATATTATTGTCAGTGTGAACCAAACAACTTTCCAGAAGTCACTTTATTCCTAATGATAAATTAGGGAAAAAAGGATTGTTTACATTCAACGGAAATACTTACATCTCAGCCGGAGCGAACTGAGGCCGACTCATCCTGTGGCCCTCTTGAATCATCCTGTAAAAGGCTGAACCCACCTGCATCCCAGGGTATGGACTGTTACCTGAAACAGCCAAAAGATAACATCAGACTTAAGACTGAAACCGGCGATGATCTAAACAGTGTGCTGGAGTCAGTGAGTGATTCACTGCTGCTCTGATCCAGTCTAATCTCATTTACTCTGACCCCAGTCAGCTGTGCTGTGATAACAATGAGAGTTGAACTCTGATGGGAACGTTACCCAGGGAGAAGATTTCCCAGAGCAGGATGCCGTAGGACCAAACGTCACTCTCAAAGGTGTAGACGCAGTCAAAAATGCTCTCAGGAGACATCCACTTGACTGGCAGACGGGCCTGCGTCAGGAGGAGACGTGGTTAGACCAGATCCAATCAGATTAGATTATGTTTGACCTTTGAGAACAGTTGTTTGGTTACAAATCATGTCCACTTGTCAGTAGATAAAAGATTTGATATTTCAGTTTTTGAAGCAAAAAATACACAATTATTCTTGTTGAATGGACATTTCAAGGATGGAATTGTTATCATTGTTTTTAGCTGTTTATCTGAAGAATAACCCTGAGTTTATCCAGCATATATAGCATTATTATGGATCAGTTATAAGTCTGTTCCTGCGGGTGGACGATCTCTGTATACAAGGTAAAATAAAGTCAGATTTCTAAACAAATCCAGTCAGTTCTGAAATGCTGACACTTTTCTTGTTATGTATAAAAGCCTTTACTTTTTAATCAACATATTTTATTTTTTGGTAATAAATGCACGTATGTACTGAAGTGTGCTACAAGGAAAAGAGTCTAAGAAAGAGAGAAGGAAGAGAGGGTTGGAGGAAGGAAGGTAGGAAAGTAGGTCAGAGACTCACATTTCCTCGCAGCACATAACTGGCATCCGTGGTGATGTCTCGTGCCAGGCCGAAGTCACAGATCTTTGCCACCCGGCCATGAGTCAGCAGAACGTTTCTGGCAGCAAGATCTCTGTGGATACACTACACACCCATATGCAAACACACGCACGCACACACAGAAACAGATACTGTCAGTGTGGCTGCATGAATGAATGGCCCATACTCAGGAAAGAAAAACTAGACGCGATTCCAAGACGAATGCCTGAGAAAGACAGGTGTCTGCAGAGAGACTAAAAAAAGAATAAAAACTTATTATAAAGTACCGTCACTGCTAACCACCAAGATGCTAACAGTTATCATTCATTGCCCTACTGTTATGTAGCTCTGTGATACCTCACCTTGACTGTTGTCATAGCTTATGAACCATAGTTTCTGAGACACATCTGATGAACTCAGCCACTTCATCAGTGACTGTAGGATACTGACACAGGAAGGAGCTGCATTCAATGTCCCAAAATATGGGCCTCAGTAACAGTTCAGGCAAAGTCAGGAGAGCAGACGCAGCTTTTACTAATACATTACACTATTATTGTTGTTACCGTTTTTTTCTCGTCATTATAATATGACACTGTTTCGTTTTTCTATACCACAGTGATACATAATTATATAATAAACAGTTATACAAACTTATTTATTTGCACAATTGAAAACCTAAATGTAAGCATTAAAATGTAATCAGATTACAGATAAAGTAATGGTGGACTGACTGTAGTCTAGACATACTTAATACTACATGCTTAATTGAATCAAAATAAATCTAGGGAGGAGGGATCACTTAAGGCAAACAAGAAAACAAAGTTGTCTTTTCAATTACATTACTTTTGTCATAAGACTTTTTGGGGCCAAAGAATTTTCCTTTCCTTTCAAATTCTGATGATGTGGTCTTAATAAAATACATAACTTCACAGCAAAACCTGTGAAAGTAAAAAATGTCCAGCTAGCCCACCGTCAAGTTTGAGAAGAACTCAAATGATGTCAAAGGCAGCTAAATAACTATACTGTAGTTGTTCTTGACAGGACGAAAATGCTAAATGCTAAAAGTCAGGAATGTACTTAAATGCAGCACAAAGCTTGTGGCCAACAGAAAGAAGAAAACCTTACGATTGTAAAAAGTACTCATAGAAATAGCTAACGATAAGGTTAACATTATATCTAGCATTAAAAAAACAAACATAGACATTATATGTAGACACTATAAATAAAGGTCTTTATGTTTTCCCTGTGTTTTGATGAACTGTTAAAACCTCACTATTAAAGGGCTACCAACCGGTAAATGTCCATCATCTGGAGCCTTATCTGTAATGTGATTTATCAACCTCAATAAGTGTGATAAAATCCTGCCTTTAAATGCTCCATAAATATTGATAGGCCTTACATTCTTGGAGGTAATGTACTCCATCCCTTTGGCCACCTGGTAGGAAAAGCTGAGCAGGTCTTCGGCGTCCAGAGACAAATCGTCTACATCATCTGGACAGCAGGTTCTTGTGTTAATAAAAATCAGTCTTCATACAGGACTTCAAACAGTGTTGCATCAAAGGACGGAGATTTATTCACCTGACTGTGTCGGCCTTTCCTTTTCAGACGGATGCATGGACATATACCCTGCACGAGTCACATCTCTGCTCCACACACAGCACATACCCGTACAGGTGTTACATTCAGACACAACAATCAGCGTGTAGTAGAAAAGTCATAGACATGCTGTACTTTGTACAACTATCGTACACACCTGACGGGCTCACTTTGTTTTGAGACATTACGATAGAAACCGTCGCCAACTTGGGAATTAAGGAAAAACTCTCTCTTTCTGCGCAGGAAGTTGAGAAGGTCTCCATAGCAACAGTACTCGGTTATCACCAAAATTGGACCTGGTAAAAACAAAAAAAAGGAAAAAATACACTTGGATCAGGAACAATGAGGAGGAAACAGAAAGTACACCCATGAGTCTGCCTGACATCTGATTTTACTATTTTGTGTCAAAGCGTTGTTCTGTCAATACTGTCTCTTGTGGTGCCTGCACACATCCATACAAACACACCTCAAGTGCTCAGACCCTGCCTGTAATCACACACTCACGCTCGCCTGTCGGTCGTCTCATTTGAAAGCTGCATTTTAATCAATGGGATCAAGTGGACGAGTCCGTGCTATTGATCAGTCAAACGGTGAATTTGTGAGCAGTCAGAGTGCATCACGTCTTCATGGCTGAGTGTAACGGCTGCTCAATACAGGACTTTTAGTAGAAGGACAATATCGATGGACACCATCACGTGTCTGTGTGTCTGTGTGTGTGTGTGTGTGTGTGTAAGAAGGCTTTCTACATACTCTAAATCTAAAACAGGGTTCATTTATCAGACCTATATTTACATGGCTGACTGGAGCTGAATAGAATAAAAAACTGGGACCACTATGTCTGGGAAAGATTTGGTCTACATTTGTTGGTCCACGTCGCAGTTGCTCCTCTCACCTCCAACAGTGCAGGCTCCCAGCAGGTTAACAATGTTCACGTGGTTTCCAAGGTAACTGAGAACTTTTAGCTCCGACATCAGCGCTTCCTTCTCCGTGGCGTGAGCATTGGCTGAGAGCACAGAAATACAACAGTTTGTCAACACAGAGTAATAATAAGAAAAAAAGGAAGAATTTAATTTGGACACGTGATTCAACTGTTGATGTTGGTTCATCATTATATGGAAACATGATGTGAGATGACCCAAAAGAAATCTCTTGCGACCCACCTGGGGGTCACGACCCAGTCTTTGAGAAACAGTGGTCTACAGCACTTCTGTATAAAGTTACCACACACAGACGTACACACTTACGTTTGAGCATCTTAACAGCCACAGTTGTGACAGTATCTGCAGAGCAAAGTCCATAAGCAGTTGCCCTCACCACCTTCCCAAAAGCCCCAGAGCCCAGGGTTTTACCTAAACACACAAAACATAAGTGTATATATTTATATTTATATATATGTTTTTATATAACCAATATATTTTGTTTACAGATACGTTGTAGGTAAAAATCTATTTTTTTGTCATACCGAAGCGAAGTTTCTGCCGAGAAAACTCCCATTTTGAGTCATACGGCAGCTGCATGGGGTCAATGTAAATGTAATTGTTGCCATGGATACTCTCGATGACTTTCCACTGGATTTGAAACTTGGGTTTCTGTTCGAAATTTTGGAGAAGAAAAATAAACAACAACACTGAATTAGCACTTAAATTTCCACAAGACAATAGTTTGTAATATGTGACTGAGGCGATTGTGTTGTTCTGTCAGTTCTTCAACAAAAACACCATCAATCAACCTGTCGTGTTGTCGTGTTACTGTCATTTCCTGTCAGTGTTTATGTGCTGGTATTCAGGAATTGAATCATATCTGAGCTAATGTGCAGTATGTTTTCTTTTCATTCCACTTTTTAATGGTCAGCCTATTTCGGCGTAATCCGAAATCCAGGCAATTTCACTGTGGATTCCTTCACTCCGTCTGACTCATCTGGGTGCAGTGAGTGCACGGTGGAGGAAAATGAGTGGCTGGAGACGTGATTGTGATGTCAAAAAGGCTTTTAGCTGCAGCTTACTGCCTTTAGGATGTGTGACAGAATAGTTGACATTCATTAGGAGACATTTGTATTGATCAATAGGTTTTTTCTGCTAGCTAAATATATTAGCTTCTGTTGCGTTTCCAAAATGCTGGGTCATGGCCTGGAAGCAGGTCACAGGGATAATCATATTTAACATTATTCATGAGAACAGCAGTCAGGAGAAGTGGCTCTGGTGTACAGCACCAACATCATCAAAAAAGGCATGTATTGATTGAATACATGGATATTTTTTTAAAGTGAAGTCAGTGAGAGAAAACAGAGTCCGACTCTGTTGGCCAACAAATACATGCAGTATTATTTCTGGCTGCTCTGATGCCTTTCCTTTTAACTCACTGTGATAAAAACATTTGAAGCAGTCGTTTATTTTCCTCTTGTTCTTCCCCAATTAATTAATATTAATGTCCGTGCATTTTTAAACTAATTAAAAAAATGTAAAGTAGATTGATGTGAATGGATTTCTATGACCACGGAGATTTATTGCCCCACTTTCCGTAATTTTAAGCGACTACTTTATTACAGTAATGACATGGTCTGTGACTGTGATTCATTTCCTTTCTTACCTGAACATATTTATACAGCAGCACCAGCAGAATGAGGCTGAGAATGATTCCAGTCATCACCATGCCAGAGAGAAGTGGAGTGAACAGTTTGTGGGGAATGACGCGTTCTGAGGGAAACATCACAGAAGAACAGAATAACAATTAGAAGAAAAAAAAAAAGAAAACACACATTGATTGTCTATTTTCAGACCAGCATGAACCTTTAGGCCCCACGTTTTTTTCACATAGCTTAATGGGTCAAAAGTGGATGTGTGTGGGCCATTTATGATATAGTATGGTAGTAGCACTTGGCAGAGGTTGTTGCCTATGGTGCCATCTGCTGGTGGGGCCAAGCTGTAACCCCCCTACAGAAACAAATCTTCCATGATCTTACCTACGACAGAACACAAAATAACTAGAACTGACTCTGACGTGTCCCACTGGGAATGAGTGGATAAACACACATAAACATGTGGGTCTCAGGTAACGCTCATCTACGCTGCCTTCAGGCCGAGTACTGTCAGTGCACGGGCAGGGCTGGGTCCTGAGTCCCTGATTGAGAACACCTGCATCTTGTTTGAGCTTGAGCTTTAATGTTGTTTTTTTGTTGTTGTTGTAAATTTGACTGCTTTTACTTGTTCAAGGTTAAACACCATCTTCAAAGCCAATGTCAGTGTCTGTGTCTGTTGTCGTCTGGCTTTAAATCAGACAGCTGCTGCAGTGGTGTTTGTTTATGCAACAGAGATTAGCCAGTCTACAGCATATAATCCATGCCTGCACAGTCAGCATAATCTAATCATATCCAGTCTGTACCTCGTAACCTGACACCTGGTCTTCATAGAGGTGTGAGGTCAGTGGGCTGGATGGTCTGAGAAAAATTATTTACATACAGATGATGCCTGTGTGTGTGTATGTGTGTGTGTGTGCGTGTGTGTGTCTGTACCACTGATGGTAAACAGTGTGTAGGCCTCTTCGCCCTCGTTGCTCGCCACACACTCCAGAGTGTGATAGTTTGCCAGTTCCTTGGTGATGTTCAGTCGACTTTCAACTTCACTTTTACCAAATGTGGACTCTGTCAGCACGGCCACCTCTGCAGCCTCCAGTTGAGTGGCGTTAGGCAAGTGTGAGCACCTGAGGAGGGGTAAAAACATGAATTCCCTCCTCTGTTGAACCACTTGGTTCATTTCTTTGGTTCATAATGTATGTCGATGATTGTCTGCTGTATTTCACAAATCAGCTTCAACTAAGTATTATATTTTGCAAACAATTTTATTGTTAAATCCATGGATTATATTGTTTACAGTATGTCACAGTCTTCAAAGCAGGGGTCTGATATCCAATATGGCCACTAGTTGGCAACATTAACAACAAATTTGCCAATGCTGATACTAAAATACATTTTTAAAACTCCCCGAAGAAACATGGACTGGGGCCAACAGTAATTTTAAAATCATTTGACCGCAACTCTATGAAATGTTTTCAACTTTCAATTTTAGTATTTTTGATTGTATTCTTGTGAGTCTATTGAAATATTCTGGATTGAAATGTAATTTGTTTTTAAGCTTTATGACTCAAACAGGGTTGAGTACCACTGCTTTAAACAACCTTGACCATCAGTGACATAAAACATATATAATAATAATAATAGTATTTGCCTCAAACTATAAGGTTAGCCAACAAAACATAACTGTGACTGATTTAAATAAAATTTGTCTTTATTTTTGTATAGTTTAATTGTGACTACAGCATGTAGCCTATTTCCTTAGAGAACCAATAATTGTAACAATTGACAGTAAACGACAAAACCTCACCAAATATGGTGGCGTTCATATATAGTCTGAAAATAATCCAATGCGTGTGTGTGTGTGTGTGCGTGTGTGTTGTCCGTACCAGCATTGGCAGATTGCTTTTTCTAAGAGTGGATTAATTAGGTAACTGAAGAAAACTCTTTTCAGAATAAACGGCTTTAGTTTGCACAAAAGATGACCATCTGTGTGCATAACAGTGTAATACTGCACCGGTGACTCGGAGCCAGCTTTTTGTTTCTCTGTAGAACAATTACTTTCATGTGCAATGTGATAACGATGCAACATAAGGCCCTTTTATCCCTGTTCTCTGAGGGATCCCGTTCCATCTCATTTCTTATCTTCATGGACCACAAGTTTAATGAAGGTGCTTCTCGTGGCTGGGATCTAATTGCTAAAGTCTGGTTCGCAAAACTCTGTTAGTAGAATTACACATGTCTGAATATGATGATGACATGTCTTGCAATCGCTGTCAGACAATATCATGGATGATTAAAACAAATGAAAGACTGAAAAACCTGCAAGAACATCCTAAAACAGCTGCTCTAACTTCTCATTATATATATATTATTATTTTCAGTAAATTAACCTGTGACGTTTTATAAACACTTTTTTTTGATACAACAAACTCATGCACATGCAGCAGGTTACAAGGCTCTAAATGTCTCCCGTTGTTCCCGTCGCATTGTTACTCAACATTCAAAACAAGTTTATGTGTATTAGTCTGAATGCTAATGATGCTAATGATGCTAATGATCATTATATAATCCTATTCCAGACTCCTACTGAACAGCAACAACAAAGCCAGCGTTGAAGTTCTAATGGGTTTTCAAGCATAAACCTATTACAAGCAAATGCTTATTACTGTGTATCAGCCACACGCTGGTCTAAACAGACAGGATAAATACTTATATTATACATAACTGTGTAGTGTAATGGTCGGTCATTTTTGAAATACCTCATGTGGGGCAGCTCGCAGAAATACCAGCTGATTTTAGGGACTGGATAACCAGCAGCGGTGCAGCGCACCTGTCCGTCAACAGGCCCCTCCTGGGCGGTGATGACAGGCTTACCTTACAGAGGTGAAGGACACACACACAGAGTTATTACTGCTTTCACTATGGTCACTGTAAAAACGACAATAAAAAAATGATCATAATGTCTATAATAATAATAATCTCATCATCATCATCATGATTTATGATGTGAAGTTGACTTACTGCTGACATACACGTGGAATAAATGATTAACAGATGCGTCTTCATGATTGGCGGAGAACCTATAGATTCCACTCTCTGAGTCGAGAACCCGCACCAGTCTCAGCTCGCTGATGTATCTACCAAACAAAACACACACACACACACCTCAGAATATGCCTGTGCAGAGCTTCGCGTAGTCACCGGTGTCTGTAAAGTATCGTACCTGTATTTATGGCGGTGAACAGTGATGACGTGCTCCGTGGTATTAAGCAGCTGTTGGCCGTGGTACGACCAGGACCAGGACTTGGGTGATGGATAAGCCTCCAACTCCACTCTGAGGCTCAGGCTCTCACCTTCTTTAACATCTGCCTGGACTGGACCTGGAGCTCCAAGCAGGGTGATGAACCCCTGGTCTGGGGAACAGAAATGTCTCGTTAGACAAAGAGAAAACATGCCACTCCCAGTGGTACATGAGTTTAGATCAAAGTCTGTGTCGCTGCCTCACAGCTTCTGTCCAATCATCAGATGTTTGCGAACGACTCTGTCTTCACTTACGTTGTTTCACATGTGCCGTATGATCAAATTTTGTTTAACTTAATAAGGGGCCACATGGTGGTCTTACGGGAAGAACTTCACCGATTTGAGTCCTGGTGAATTGACATTGTATGTGACCTCATGTTGGACCTTTGTTAAACTATGTACATAAAACAGACTTCAACACTCACCACGGATGTCCAGCTGCAGAGCAGTTTCACTGCTTCCCCGCTCATTATGGGCAAAACACTGGTAGGTGCCCGAGTCTAACTGATTGACACTTTGGATTAAGAGCGACGTAGATCGTTGATAACCTTGTGAACCGGACAAGATGTGTGAGGCCTGCGATTCCTCGGGATGCTGAGGGACATCAGCAGTGTTAGCAGGGTTAGAACAGCTGTAATTCTTTAATACATTATCTTTGTTTTATGGTTATGGTCATGGAGCATCACTGTCTGTTATCACAGATGAATCTGTAGTCAGTCTCACCGCTGTTGAAGGGAAATTCCACCTCAGACTGAAGTCAGGGTTGACGTTAGTGGAGGTGCAAGACAGTGCAAAGTGCTCTCCTTTCTTCAAGATGACCGTGTCTTTGTGGGAGAGGGTGATGACGGGAGGCAACATTGGAACTGGAAAAGACAGGAGTAGTGACAGGAGCAAAGTAACATTAAAACATTAAATGCAATAATAAAAAAAACAACCACAAGTCACTTTGGTCTTAAAACTGTGAAACCCTGTTAATTCTGTCACATTATAAATAATGAAATACTTGAATAAGAGAGCAAAGGTCTTTTAAGTTAACGCGAGTTAGCAGGAAAGCTACAAGCGACACTTCATTTACACAGTCCGTCCTCCTTCAGCCACTCTGGCTGTTAGTGGAAGTGCTACATAACCATTTATTTGCACTGCTGAGAGCTCAAAGTGACGGAGGATTTCTCTCTGGGGAGTTTCGGAAACAGTAGGGTTCTCTGGCTGCTAAGGTTGAATTACAGTATCTCTTCAGAAAGCAGTGATTGGCACCACTGGTGACATTCCATGTGATTAGCGAGAAACTAAATTCTGTAAAGTTCCAGACCTCTTGTTTGAAAGGACTATTTCCTATTGCTTTCAAGACTATATTGGACATTGAGGACAATACGTCCATATAAATACTCTAAATATGACTTATGTTTGAATAGCATTAGTATCATATATGATGGCATATTACGACAGGACTCATACACGGAGTTATTCCATGAAGACACAGCTGCTGACATCACTGCAGTGTCTCTGTCCCACCAACCCTGTGGAAACCGTTACTAAAGCTTCATTGAGGTCGAGGCTGTAATCCCTCGGCACCGCCCTCCCCCCTCCCCTCACGTCCTCTTTCGTGCTTTCTTACTGCATCAGCTGTGGCGTAGTGTCAAAAGGACACTTCGCCATTTCTCCTCGCAGCTCAACTCTGTTCGATCCTCAATTTACTGCAGGCCAGGCTGAAAATGCTGATGTAATGCAAGGACGAAAGGTGACATACACTGCAGCCACCTGACCAGCTCTAATGTTACACATCCTTTGGTTAGGGTAAATAAAAGAGCAGATGAAATGGACTTTGGACACATACTGTACACGATATTGATATTTTGACACCTAGTCAAAGGTTTAAGGCAAAGAAATCACTAAAATTATTATCTTTCAACTGTACAAAAACAAACGTGAAACAGCTGAGAGAAACACAAATTTAACACACACAAAAACACACAACTTAAGTTCCAACTGTCCAACCCAGAAGATAAAACCTTAGCTTTAAACGTGCCTGAATCTTTAGCTCCTTTAGCTTCATGATCGCCAACACGACACGTGGTGAAACAATGTCAAACGCCTTGGCAGGCATTTTAGCAACATTAGCCGATTTTGAAGGTGTCACTCACCCAGTCGTACATCCATGGTGTATTGATTGGACGTCACCTTGAGTCCCTGAAGTCGCCCCACACAAACGTAACAGCCCTCGTATTCCTTTCTTACGTCACTGATGACAACACCTCGCTGAGGGTTGCTGTGGTAACTCATGTCAGAGGGCAGAGGTCTCCCATCGCAGGTCTCCAAAGCCAGGAGACTGACTTCTGGGTCGGTCACCAGACATGGAATGGTGCAGTTCTCACCTGCACGCACTAGAATAACATTTACCATGGTGCGCTGAAAGGCATTCTGGGAGTCTGAGGAGTAGGAGGATGGAAAAGTGAGTTGCCTAAAGGAGCAGATGTTTAAAAAGGTGGGCTCAAATAATGTCTTATCAACAATCAACCACCCACCTTTCACATACACATAGATGGAGCTGTGTTCCAGTGTGCTGTTGTTCACACACACATACCGACCCATGTGGAAGGCCTGCACTGAAGGCACCTTGACGTAGGCCACTCCGCCCTCCTCCACCTCTCCCTCCAGTTTGCGAGCCCTCTCCCACTGCCACCTCACACTGGGTGTGGCGCCAGGCGTGGTGGAGTTGTCATGACAACGCAGCTCCAGCTTTCCTCTCTTGGGAACCACAATGTGAGGCCCATTGGGGAAAATGATTGGTTCACACCACACTGCAAATGAAGGTAACGAGTATGGTTAGTGCTGGTGGTCTGGGCGCTGTTTATAAGGACAGTGATTGATTGAATTGAACAAAGATTTCACACAAATGGCCGAAGAACACCACAGTGATTGATTGCTCTGAGTATGAAGAGATCAATTAATTGATTAAAAAAAAGCCCTGGGAGGATTGTGTTGGGATAGAAAAAGAAAAATCTTAACAACAACGCAACAGTTAGCGGTTTCCAACTGCTAATGCTTGGAGTATTTTACTTTGCATACTGAATCAAAGTTGTTTGGCAAAAACGTATATCCTCTAACAATTAGTTGTATTGTGTATCCTTTTAATGAACGACCGGCTGCAGTGTTTTGAACAGTACATTTGAACAAGTTTAAGAAGAGTTCTTGAAGGTATCATGGCCAGGTGTTACACTGTGAATTTCTTAAGGTTGTACAGATTTGATGATCATCCAAATCTACCGAGATTCAAATCATTGGCTTTCGGAAGTTTGGCTTTCTTGTTAGATATAAAATATGATGTTTGGGCTTTTTCAGTTGAGTGTTTTTTTTCTTCACAGAATCACCAGATCACCAGCCTTGTGATTAAAGGAAGAACCATAAAATCAAGAGGACTGCTGGTTTGAATCCCAACAGCCAGCGGTGTGGTGTGTTGAACAAGTACCAACTCCCTCCTCACAGTAAATTGCTGCCCACTGTTTTGGTTCAGAGATGGATTACACGCAGAGGACACACTCCATTTCTACGTCAGGTGTTCTTGGCGTGAACAAACAGCAACCTAATTGATCTTTTCCGTGTTGTTTACTTTTTTTTTACATTACTTTAATGTGGCTTTTTGGAGTCTTTACAGAAGAAATTGAATTTTCTTGTTCTGCTTTCTTTGTTTTAATTTAATTTAAAAAAAGGCTAAAAGCATTGCACTGTTCACACACCTCACAGCTTTGTAAAATGGCTTTCAAAAAACTCAGTTAGCTCGAAGTTTGCTGTGTTGTTTACCTTGATCTGAGAGGAAAAAAGAAATCTTTTAATATGATTTCAATTGTATGAATTTTTAAAATGCAATATTAAAATTTAAAGTGGTGTTAATCAAATATCACATCAGTTGTAGTAAAGAGATAATAAAACAGAACACAGGGTTTAATGTGATGGTTAAATAGGTCATGAAGACACGGGTCCTTTAAGACGGGTGCAATCTAACCACTACGCCTGTATTGAGCAATCAATAATTATGAGCTGTCTCCCCGCTGAGTAATCATGCATTACTGAAGCCTCCAAAATCTATTACCCTAAGATGAGTAAACTAATCTAATATTTCATCTTACTCTACCCCCAGCAGCAACCCCCCTTTAATTTTCATTTTCTTCTCATTTCATTTCATCTCTTTTTGCAGTTTTTCACATGATATGCATCCTTTCAGGAGCAAGATTTTCATGTGACTGCTGTGCCTCTAGGCCTGGTACAGCAGAGAAGAAAAGGAGACACGGCTCCAAGAGGCATCTGTAGATATCTGCTGCATTTTTTGTGTTTTTTTTACGGTAGAAATGTCTGACGAAGAAAGGCCAAAAGGTTTGTTCAAAAACCCCAGGCTGTTCTGTGACTAAACAAAAAGCTTTCAAAGCAAAATTCGGAGAGCTGCTGGATGTCAGTGCTGTGGGGTGTGTTTTGGTTTCCAGAAGTGGCTCGACTTTTTGCTGCCAAGCATTAGTGCAGGACCTCATTCTGCTATTTGGCTGGGATAAATACTTCATTAAATCCTCCAGAGACACGCACAAGAACACGCTAGTTGTTATGAGGACATCATCCAAGTGGAATAAATATGTCCACTACCTTGAAGTAACATACACTGACAGAGCTGTCGCTTTAGATTTATGGAAGTGATGCATTACCTGTGCCCTTACTCTGGGGAAGTGGTGCCCAAAGGTCCACGATAGGGTCCATTTGTGAACCATTGACAGTTGTATTTGGGCAAAGAAAGTACTGCACTTACTTCGTTCTGACTTTACTTCACTTTACTATGTCACTTATGGCTATTTTTTTTAAAACTTCTTTAGCTCCTTCATTTTGTTTTAATATGTTTTTAGGCTAACCTTTAGCTATATGTTGCCATGTAGTGCAGGGATATGATATGATATGATATGATATGATATGATATGATATGATATGATATGATATGATATGATATGATATGATATTGGTTAATGCTCTTGACTTCCTGAAGAAGGTCCCTGGTTCAAGCCCCATTTTGGGGGTAGATCGTGCACAGTCCAAAATTATGCAGGAACAGGTGAACTGTTCACTCAACTGTCCAGGATGTAACCTGCCCCCACAACATGGCTGCTGGGATATGGGCTTCAACCCCATCGCCTCTCTCTCTCCCGCGCACTCCAACGTAGGATTTAGTTGTAGAATTCTTAAATATCACATGAAGAACAGTTGTACCCCCAGGGTGTGATAGTTTTCAAATCTACCCACCGAACGAAAAGGTTCGGACAGCCCTGCCTTAAAGGATCTCAACCCTGGCCTTAAAAACGTCTCAAAGATTAAAGTATCTTCTTTAAGCGTTCGGTGCACGTTCTGCCTCAGGTCACATGGTCAACGTTTATTCCACAGGTGGATAACAAACACACTGACACACACACCTGTTGTGTACACTGAGTATACATGGACACGGGGGTTATGCAAACGAGCGCTGATATGATCAGGTAACATGTGTCGGCAGGTTAAACAAACCCCGATGTCAACGTAAACCAGACCTCGTGCAGATCATCTCACAACGGAATTGAGTTCACACAACGGCGGGAGCGCTTTTACAGTTTATACCGTGTCTCCTTCTGGTAAACAAACGGTTTCATCGAGATCGTCAAACGATGGAAATAATTTCCAACGATATTGGGGAAAATATCGATGGAAATCAGGGGCAAAACATGGTATAAACACGCGATGTTGTGTGCTGGATTTGTCAAACGAGTAAAAACATTACACGGATTAAACATTAGGGATTATTAGTATTTGGAGAACGATGGCTTGTGTTTTAAAAGTCAGGCTTTACATTTAAAAACACATAATATTTGTACGTCTTTTAGCAAAAACGGTGTATTTAACGCTTTACGACCCACGTCCCTACAATAAACTTAACTGTAGAACAATTAAAAAAAATACTGCGTTATAAGGAGAAAGATAAAGTCAAACTAACACAAAAACCCCATTACAATTATTACGTATATTACAACAGAATCAACATTGTTATCATGAAAGCTGGACACGCATTTCCTTTCTTTTTCTCACCTGTTAGTGGTAGTAAAATCAACAGTGAGGTTGAAACAGCCCAGTGCGTCCTCATGGTTAGTTAGTTTCACTTTGATCCTAAATTCCCAGGAGCCAAAACAACCATCATGTGCTTTCGAGGTAAAGAAATGTAGAAAAAAAAATTCAATTAAACGGACTCCAGATCCAGATCCCGGTCACTGAGGAGCAGATCCGAGTCCCTGTGATGAGCGCGCTGTACCACAGTGATCAGGTTCAGTGCGTCTCCTCCTCGTGTGTTTGACTGGAGCCACTTAAAGACACAGAGCAGCAGCGCCTCCTCTCCCCCTCCTCTGCCACTCCTTTCTGCCCCGCATTGGCTGGAGAGGGGCCAAGGCGATGAGTCGGTTATTACTGGGAAAAACACGGATTTGTTTTTTCAAGATACAGCGAATTATACCCTCACACTGCATAATCTAGAATAGTAATCTGCAGATTAGACCGCCCTGTCCAGGGAGAATGCCTTCAATCTCCCAGCTGATCACATGGTTTAATGTTATTAAGGCAGCAGAGCCTCCACACTCACCTCTTGTCCACTGCTGCTGCTGATGCTGCTGCTGTTGTTGTGATGATGACAGCTCACCCTTGGCAGGAGTTTCCCTGCAGAGGTTTGTTACTGTTGATNCACTCCATACTTTCCTATTCACTACTTTTCTGTTTTGGACGTTTTTACCCCCAAAACATGACACAGCAATATTACTATTCACATCACAGATATTCTTGTGAGTCAAAACTATGAGCAGACCAGTCTTGAAGTACTTTTTGGCTAGTTACAGAGTTAAGTGTTTTCTCAAAATCTCATGTATAATTTTCCACCTGGTATGGGAAGTTTCCCAGTCATGAATGCACCAAGACATCTTCCTTTGTGTTCTCCTCTGGGTAAGGTGCCCATTGGGTAACATTCCTCTCCATACCTTCTCCAAGCAGTGCTATCTCATCTGTCCAAAGGAAATCCTCCAAGGTTGTCCTTAGTGGACTTCATACAGGCTCCAAGACCCTTTTAAGTCTTTTGAAAGACCATCAAAGATCCTGTTGTTTAGACAGCGTTTGGCTAGCTGTGGATTTCACCATTCTTCCAGTATGATTATCAGTATGATTACTCATTTTACACACAAGTAGCTCAAGTAATAGGTCACCTACAAAGACATACTAACTGGGATGTGCTCAAAATGTGGAAACATCCCAGGGAAACAGGAAGTTTAAGCTTCCAAGTCACAACTGTTGTCGTTGACAAAGCAGTGCCTGTGAATCTGTTCTCTTCCTCACATTCTGTGCTGAAGAATGAGCTTCAGTCCAGTAGCATCTTCAGAAAAATGTTCGAATGGATGTTGTTTCCACTTGTATTATATATAAAACCTATCTCTGTTACCTAACTAGAGTCATGTGTCTGTAAAATGTTGTTGTTTTGATGCTGACCGTTGACTTCCTGAGCCTTCAGGTCAAAACGCTTAACAACAAAGATGTACCAACAAATATACTATAAGAACACGTGGGAGCATATATAAATATGTTTATGTACGTACACAGTTGGTGTTGCAAAACCTAGGAGTTAGGAAGATGACAAGCTCATATAGCTGTAAAGAAAGTCAAAATTCACTCTACAAAATTCAGTGTGTCAACTTCCTGCACCACTAAAGTAATGGGCCACTAATGGGCAGTTAATTTACCAGTTAATTGTTGAGGGTTATCAGTGCAAGAATGCCAATGTTTGCATGGTTGTAATTTTAATTTTTTGCCATCTCTTCATCTCTCCTGTCTCACTGTTAGTGTCTACACATGAGCCTGTGTCTATTTTGCTTCAGTAAAAGAATCTGAGAGCACACTGGAGCCGTTGTTGCATGTGGGTTTTTCTCTCCCCGGACACATGATGGATCTCCAAGTCACTGCATTGCCCCACAGCTGTTTGCGCCATTCTAAGCACTAGATGGAAGGATGAGGCTAAACAAATGAAAGAGGCAGAACATCACATTTGCTGGTAATGTGACTTCATTAGTTTGTTTTCACAGCACATTTGTCCCGACAAATGAGACTAATGGGGGTTTACTTTATCAATAAATTATTAGTTTGAAAAATGAAAACTTTGAAAGCAAAATTACCTACTCACTCTTCATGTTCCACTGAAAACACTGCAGTCTTCTTTGGTCAGGTTCTTCACTGTGACATTAGCGACATTTTCAGAGGGAAAAAAAATTTGAATTTTCTTTTTTTATGGCTGTGCCCTTTGAGGATATAGAGGATGAATTGATGACAGTGTAGAGCAGCAGACAAGAGGAGAGCAGTAGCCCTGCAGGGTTTTAAAAAAAAATATTTACACTACAAAATATTTATTTGTGTCCCACTTGAATGTGCAGTCAACTTTGGAATATAGTCCAAATTAGGGATGTCCGATATTAACTTTTTGCCGATAAGTTCTGTTATCCACCAATACTGATATACGCCTGGTAATATTTATTTGTTTATCTGTAGAAACCACTGTATTGGGTTGCTGGCATATACAAAATAGTTATTATTAAAATAGATTAATAAAATGAGCTGCAATGCTGCCATCTAGTGACTTTCACAAAACTAGTTGTTAAAGCTAACATCATTTGGTGAAACCCAGGCATTGCGTTATCGGGTTTTCATTATCGGAGGAAAAAACGATATAGATTCTTACAGATATATATACATAATTTTGCTGATATCGGCCGATAATATGGGTCGGCCGATATTATCGGACATTCCTAGTCCAAATACTGATGCAAGACCCAAATGCACCACACTGCCCTGAGAGTTAGGGTAAAATGTTTTTATCAGTGGAGTGCTTACAAATGCGGCGGGGTGGATTGTGTTACTTTAAAACACAATTAAGCTCAACCTCCCCCACTTTGATATCAGTCTTTATACTGATCTAATTGTCACACTGAAGAGGTGGGGGTTGAGTGGCCTCGGCCCCCACCTCCTCTCAGTTCAAGAGAATTTTCCAAAATGTTTAGGTTGGAACTGTCTTTCCAGGTGGAGTTGGAGTTGGCGTCCACTTTTTAAATATTCATCGGTGAGAAAAAAGAAACCTGTGTCCTGGGGCATAGCTGTTCATAGCACCTGTCCACCAGCAGTCCAGCTGTCCGTGTGCTTTGTCAAGATGCCTCGGTGTGTGTGTGTGTTTGTGCCTCCTCTCTCGTTGGTCATCTGTACGTTTTATCTGCTGAGTTCACATGTCATTGGAGTGGATTATATGCTGTTTGCTGCTACATTATTCATTAGTGACGTGAGCGTCTAAAGCAGACCTGGGCTGACTCACTATGACTGTGCGTGTGTGTTTGTACTGTACGTGTGTGTGTGTGTGTGTGTGGACCCACTGCATGACTCACTCAGTGCTTTTAGACAGATGAGGACAGCAGTCTCACAGAGGGCAACGGAGGTTTTATACAAGAAAAATAGCCACTTAGATTAGATTACGTAATGAAAAACACCCTCCACCCTCCCCCCTCTCTCTCTCACACACACACACACACATGCCCTCACTGTCATTTTTATCCTTAAATTGACACACACACATATCCTTACTCAATTACTGTTGGGTAAATCTCTCTGCACACCCTCGGGCCCTGAACGTACACCTCGCTGGTGGATGATGGATACAACACCACATGTGACCAGCGAACACACATGAACACACACACACAGGCACAGTTGTGCAGCTATTTATTTTATTAGCTATTCATTCTGGGATCGACTGCAGTTCATTTGTGCTGATTAATCAGAATTGTATTTCTAATCCTGAGAATGACTAGTTATTGACCAGACTTTAACCAGCGACTGAAAAATGTGGTTCTACCTCATTAGAATCTCTGTTGGTGCTCCATGAAAAAAAAAAAGTAGTGATGCCAGAAATAGATACAGACACACACACACACACACACACACACACTTGTCTTTGCTAAAAGCATACTCTCCCTCATCACTTTCACTTTGATGTCCAAATGCCCATAACCTTCTCCTTGGTTTTTCCTGGTGCAACTCAACACTCATCTTCGTCTGCTGACTCTGCGTTTTACATCTGATATCAATGTACGACTTTCTATCCTTCACTTCTGTGCAGTCAGACTTTGTGGGGTTTTGCACCACGCGTTGTTTTTATTTATTGCTCATCAATCATGGCTCTCTGAACAGACTGAACTAAAAGCTGGAAAGAAACAAAGGAATTACACAGATGTTAATGTAGTTTGCATCGATTGGACCAAGTACTTTTTTGCAGCCTGGATAATTTTTTTCTTATCTGCAATTTTTAAGAGTAAAGGTCAACATTTTGAGAAATTTGCTGTTCAGTTTTCAGATGGAAAATGCATATAGACAGAATGTTCTTCCACACACGTGTAATCTAAAAAAAAAAAAATCTTTGAAACAGTTCATTTTGTTGCATTTCAGGTGCCTATGTGCAGAGCAGTTTCTTGGCCAGACACTAACTTCTGGGATTCTGGGATGGTTGCCTAGAAACTACTTGCTGCTTGAGTTTTGTTCAGAGCTTTAAAAAAAATCAAAAAAAACAAATGTTTGAAGGTGACCTTTAAAGGGCTAAACTTAATTTTTAGGAACATGCTACTGGGGGTTACTATTAGATGGAACCAAGACCTATAGTCCAGACACTGTATCTGTACCAACAACAACTTTTGTCTCGCAGAACAACCAAGTGCAGTAGAGGGTTGACAATAACATATGTTTGATCAAACAAGATGATGTGGATTGAAAATGTGCCAAGGCACCACAGTGTGAGCCTCTATCAGCTGGTGTAATCACTGATAGTCCAATGATCGCCCGCTGTCTGGTTAAACCCGATTAGTATTGACCAAGCTGTAAGATGCTGTAATCCAGCATAAGCAGAGGAGGATGGATCCTTGGACAACCAAGACAAAACAGAGTAGGAAACATGATGGAAAATGGAGAGAGCAGAAAAAAAACAAGTTTGAACTGATCTTATTATTCAAGCAGGTATGAATGGATGGATGGATGGATGGATGGATGGATGGGTTCGTTTCAAATGTCGATTCCGCATACTTCCATGTGTGTTTCAGTGGTTGTTAAGAAATGCATCCACTTGGGGCAGTGTTGCACTATTAATTCGCTTACACTCAATTAGTGCTCTATTTCTTCCTAATGTCCTTTGCGACTTCTCTGTCCATTTTTGCTCGCCTGCAATGTAACACTTTCATTTCATGAAAATAGAAGTGGGAAATATGTGTTTTCATCATTTGCCATGTGGATTACTGCTGCAGCAAACCGTGAATAAGTAAAAAAAAAAAAAAAATCTATCTAGTTTAAGTTGTACTAACTTTAAGCATTCAGTGCATTCATTTGCAGATTGGGTCTTTGTCATTTCATGGACAATTTATAATCTAGATTGAATACTGTTTTCTTCAATTTCTACTTTATTATAGACATCATTAACCCTGTGTATTTGCTTATACATACCACTGTCATGGTGGATTTGGTCTTTTTATGCCAAATGAACAGAGAGGGAGAATAAACAGAGAGAAAATGCCTCTAATGAAGCGTAAGAAATGGAGAAAAAGGCAGGGAATGTGATTAGGTTGGAAATGAGTAACAAAGATTGGAAGAGAGATGCAGGGAGACAGCGTGAACAAAATAAATGTAATTTCACTGATCAGTTTAACTGAGAAACCATTAGACACGAGCCCATTGTATCTCTCCCTCTTTCTCTCTCTCTCTCTCTCTCTCCCACTCTCTGTCTTTGTCTCTCTTCTTTTATTCATACCTGTTTGTGTCTGCGTGCTTTTCTTGTGTGTGTGCATGAACCCATGCTAAGTACACACAAAAGCTCACACATACTGCATGGTGTGGTACTGCAGATACTTGTGATATGACCCCCACTGTGGTAGGAAAAAAAAATCAATGTCCTCACACATATAATACAACCACACCTCATGCAACCAAATTTGATTTAAGCATCAGATACACCACACCATGTGTGTATGTTGTCCATGCGTTTGCAGGATCTCCTCACTGAGGAGGTGCTTGAAGCGCAGGAGACTGTTAACGGGGAAAATTAGTCAATCTACAGACTTTTTTGTCATTTACTGACAGGATTTAAGTGGCACCACTTAACTGGTCAAAAGCCATAAATGCATTAACACTCCTCTGTGCATTAACTGGCAACTCCATGTACAAACAGAACCACAGCAGTGATCACAAGACACACATTAGTGATGATGAATCTGTCTGTTGCATTTACTCGAGTGCAGATAAGGTTTGGGCTTTGCTGTCTAAATGAACAAAAAACAATCCAGTTTGTTGGGGGCTGTCCAGTCAGTGCATACACGTGCGTGTACGTGTGGGGGTTTTTTGTGTGTGTGTTTGTGGACTGTAGATATACGCCGCCTCAATGTTTTGCTGTTTCAGACACCTGTCTGTAGTTTAGTGTGCTATCATGATGACTTAATGTTTTAATTCAACCATCCTTTATCGTTGTTTTGGTTAGACATTGGGTACATATATAAATATACATCTTATCCTGTTCTCTAAAGTGTTGGGATAGACAATATATATTATATTAGCATTGATGAGCTTTCACTGGTTTCACACTGTAGGCTGACCTGATTAAAACCTTTCTTTATAAAGAAATGGAATATTCACTGGAGGGCTAACCGCAACACACAGCTCCAGTGTTTTGTTGAGCTCTCCACCTCCAACAAAGTATCGTGTATCATAATGTTACAAATCAATCAAATATAGAAACACAAACCTCCATTTTAAAAATGTAACTCTTCCACAAAGTGACAGATTGTCAGTCTCCTTTAAGGTCTGCATCTAAGATGAACTAAATCTTCTCCTGACCCCTAATCTTCTTAACATTACTTGTCTCTCGCTTTCTTTTCTTTTTTCAATTTCTTTTTTATTGTTTACTTTCTTATCTCTCTCTCTCTTTCTATGACGCAGTACTTCTATGTCTTCTTTCTGTTGTGATGCTTCAGATAGATTAAATGAAGACCATTTATTTGGGGGAAGTATCGTTTACCACACAATTTAAAAGCATCCTCAATTGAATAACTAATAATGTACAAGTAAAAACAATTACACATTACATCGAGTGTAGCTCTAGGCTTGTCCTATTGGGGGCGCTCTGGTAATTACACCATCCCTTTGACCTGAGCGGCATGTCAACAATCTCTTCCGGGATCATGCTACCTCGCAGCGGCTGGTAATGAATGCGTGAACGTTTATATTAGTTTTGGTTCGATTGCAGTTCTTAGTTGAAAGGAAACGGTGTACGTGCATATTTACAGCCGGGAGGTGTACCGTGCACTGCTCGTGGCCAAACCGCCGTTTGTTAGTGGAACCTGCGTGTTAGCTGAAACATGTCTGCGGAGGAAGCGGACAAAACAACCACCACTGATGCGAGCGCAGGGGATGAAGAGGAGGAATGGCTGTATGGAGGTACACAACTATTATAGAACAAATGTATCGATTGACATATAATTTAAACAACTCTTCAACTGGCCTTCGTGGACCGAGAAAACGACCATTCTATTAACTTTGACGTAACTTCTAAATGTTGGTTCCAAAGCTAAGCTAACAGCATCACTTTCAGAATTGTATCCCGCGGATTCACGATGACATTTTTTGTTTCAGATGAGTCTGAGAGTAAAGAAGAGGAGGAAGAAGCTAAACTGAATGCTGCAGTCGGGTAACGAGCGTCCATCCATTGTTATTCCACATGTTCTCCACCGTACACAGGTTCTCCTTTTTGGGGGTGTGCTACGGTTTCCTCAGACGAAATGTTGATTATGTTGTTGATGTGGGGAACGTTTTTATCAGACTATATTATTTAAATGGTGGAAATGTATAATGACTCGGCTCACACAGTAAATGGAAAAACTTCCTGGGCTATACTAGCAGAAATGTATAGCTGTGTACTCCTGTAATCTGACACCATACGTCAAATATATAACTGGCCACAATTGTGAGTACTTGCAACTCTGGACATTAAAGAAAACAGACAGTGTATTGTAGAGGAACAGTACAATGAAAATATTAAAGCTGTCCGATAATATAATATCAGCCTATAATATCTGTAGGAATCGTTATGTTTTTTACTCTGATAATAAAAAGCCGATAACGCAAGGCCAAATGATGTGTCCTTTATTGCTCTTAACTCAGCTTCTCCAAAAACTCATTTTCCTCCCCTCACACTCTCGGACATAAAAATTAAGTATTTTCCTCCCCTCACACTCTCGGACATGAAAATTAAGTTAATTAAGTTTGGATAGTATCGGATATTGGCAAAAAGTTAATATCGGACATCCCTAGAAAATATGTCTTAAATATATGACCTAATGTGCTTGTCCACAGTGCATCTGCCGATGCTTCCACAGAGGATGCTGTTGCACATGCTACTGGAAATGGAGTGGCATCTGAAGTAGGTAGAACTGTATATAAGCTGGAAATCTGCTCAAAGGTCCTTTCTCATTCTCATGATTTTTTTTAGTACATGTTGTGACTTATTTATGAGTTTTGTGTTCTTAGACCACCGGTGAAGCTGCAGGGGATGACGTGGAGAGCGAAAGTGACAGTGATGACGACGACGATGACGTCCGAGTCACTATTGGAGACATTAAAACAGGAGCGCCACAATACACGTATGTTTGCTATCTATCAAATTAAGTTGTGTTCCTGCTGTTTAAAATATCCCTTTTGAGACTGATAACAATAATATTAATTATAACTTTGATCATTTTATTCTTGTTTGCCTCTATCAGGGTTAGTCACTCAAGTAGATGTTATATTATATTATGTATGTGGCAAAGTTGTCTATAAAATGTGCCCCCAAAGTCTGATGTAAAATCTGAAGAAATGATACGGGCCTATGTTTTTTCCTCCAGTGTTCATGAATATTATTGTAAAATTATTAAAAGAGACACTTGTTCCTCTTTTAGAACTTATGGAGCTACTCCCGTCAACCTGAACATAAAGACATTAGGCTCCAGACCTTATGGACAAGGTACTGTACTAAATAAAATACTGTCTGATATGAAAATACCTCAAGAATAATTCAAATTATTTACTTGTAGTCAAGCATCCATTGGTTTTATTTTTTGCGATTAAAGCAAGAACCTTGTGTGTGTTGTGTTGTGTGTTTTGTTTAGTGGCAGCAAAGCTGAAGGGCGTGGATCTTGATGCTCCTGGAAACATTAATGGAGCTCCAGTGCTGGAGGTGGACATGGAGTCCTTTGAAGAGAAACCCTGGAGGAAGCCAGGTCTGTGTTTATTTGAAACTCACTTCTACGAAGTTTGGTGTTCACTGCACCTGTGTTCGCCCACCTCTCTCAACACTCTGTTTCTGCTGTGTGTTTGTGTGCAGGCGCGGATCTGTCGGACTATTTCAACTACGGCTTCAATGAAGACACGTGGAAGGCTTACTGTGAAAAACAGAAGAGGCTGCGTATGGGTCTGGAGGTTTCTACGATAGGATCAGTGACCAGCAAGATCACAGTGAGAGACTCTGCTTCACTGTTTGTCCTAGTTTTCTTACAGCTGCTCCATTTTTGGGGGTGGAGGGTCAGGGATCACAATTTTGATCCACAATTAAATCAAAGTTAATTATTGACTCTGGAAACATATAGCATTTGTTGCACACAATGAACAGCTAATGTGATATTTTCCTGTATGTATAAAATATAATTGTTTACATTTTAGCTCACTTTCACAATGATCAAAGTGATCCTGTATGTGTCTTCAACATTTTGACAATAAGTCAAAAGTAAAAGTATATTTGGCCCAGAGCCAACAGTAAATACTAGTTGAACTGCTGTGGTGAAACTCAACTAATTGCACAGCCCTAATTTTTCTTTTCAACCTTTACCACTTTTTAGACTTGGTCTAATTGTACAAACAGCCTAATGTGCATTTCGACTTTTCTTTTAGGTTCAGCAAGGTCGTACAGGCAACGACAAAGATCTCATCTCCACACTGCCCGTTCATACCTCCAAACCAGACTTTTCATCTCCCGTCAACCTTTACAAGTCTGCCGTCAGTCAAGTCCCCAGGTAAATGCTCTTTGTGTTTTGGAAAAAGAAAGAAATCACTGCATACAGTAAACTGGTGACATCTGTGTAGTAGTAGAAATGTATTCACTTAAAGCAGACTTGTAACAAAAAAAAAAAAGGCTTAATTTAAATATCAAATTTGAAATTCAATACAATTGCACCCATAAACTCAGCAGTGTCACTGTAACCTTTCATGGGTGAGTGTATCTTTGTGTGTGTTGGGGTCAATTTTTCTTCTGTCCTTTTGTTTCAAAGCAGTAGGATCTGTCTCAATCAGTGGACTGGCCCCACAGTAAATATAATGTAAGTTTACATCAAGAAGTTTTTAAAAGACAATGTCAGTCACCATGAACTGTTTTATGCTGCTGGTGGTCCACATAGGGGTTTGACAATGGTCTTTTTCTTTGCTGCGGGTTAGGGTGGTATTGAACCAGTGACCTATTGTGTGAAAGGCAAAAATCAACCACTGGTCAAACCAAGCCCTTATATCATTTACACAATAATGTGAGTCTTTATTGACATTAACTGTAACAGGATCATTGGTCCATTATTGTCTGCCTTTTCTCTAGATTCACTGATGGTCATGTAGGTACATTACATTCTTAGTTAAAATGAACACAAAACATTTAATGAAAATGTAATAATAACAGACAATTATTGTCATTTTCTTCAGTGTAAATGAAACATTACAAAGGTGTTCTGTCTTCTGGATTGTTGTGGCCTGTTTTACTTGTCTTTACTGTAAATGTTTTTTTAGAACAAAATTCCCCAACCGTCCTGAACCCAGACCAGTACTGACTACTGATTCAGTGTTTGCCGTGTCATTTTATTTTATCATATTTTGCTGTCATACCTTGGCTTTGTGAAGCTCTGTCTTAGAAGACAAAAATACTCTAGTTTCATTCCAACAACATTAGTCATGACAAATCTGAGCAGTATTTACATGATGTCCATCATTTTACTAATTAATTTGTTAATTAGTTACTTAACTACTTATAAGGGAATCTTACTTTTTTGAAGGCTAAAGTAAAACCATAGTACATGTATTAATGTGTACAGGGGTCCTCGACATATATCAACGTTACGTTCCTACTGTGCGACATAATTCAATATCCGCCGTAAGTCGAAGAAAGCAAATGTATCCATTGTATGGCAAATTTAAACAAATCTTTGTCCACTTAGCGCACCATATTTTCTTGTTGTTTAAACGTCATATGTTGGAATGATGGAACACAAAATTGAGGACCCCCTGTACATAATTCTTATCAGGATCTAATTGTTTTGTTTTACCATTAACAGAAAAAGTGGGACCATTGATGTGATCGGTGGACAAACAGCCACTATCAGCAGGGTGGAAGGCCGTCGCAGACCCAACCTAGAGGGCAACAATATCCAGGTAAAAAAGAATGTCATCTTGAACATTGTTTATTCTTGTGTCAAGCAGCAAATGTCAATCCTACAAACTAACAGCAAAAACAGTTCAAAACAAACTTGTCATGTTTTTGTCACATGGTCCTGGAGAACTTTAATCATCACTTTCACCCGTGGCTCCAACTTTGACCACTAATATAAGTTTATGAAGCATACTGGGTTTGAATGCTGAAAAATTGTATAAAACTTTTCTTAAACCTTTATTAAGCACTGTCCTGTATTGACTATTAGTTGACAAGGTGGCTTGAACATTTGGCAGAGGCTTAAATGTCTTCTCTCTGTTGACATGCAGGTGATTTCTGAACACTCTACATCAGAGGCTGAACAAACGCCAGCTAAGATGCCCACCTTCTTCCCACCTGGGCCGCTGCCTCCAAACATTCCCCCTCCTCCATTTCTCCCTCCTCCACCAAACGTCAGCACTGCTCCTCCACTCATCCCTCCACCCAGTGAGTGCTTGTTTTTACCTTGTTCCCAGGTTCATTCATTTTTGAAGGCAGCACTATGAAAACAAAGGTTTGTAAATGATGACAATTAAAATTGTTTTTTGTAGGACTGCCCATTACTGTACCTCCTCCTGGTTTTCCTCCTCCAACAAGTGGGCCTCCACCTGCCATTATCCCCAAGATGGACAGGTAATACAACCACAACTACAACTGCAATGTTTAAAAATGTTATCCTCCTGTTACATGATATTATGTAAGGATAAACTATGTAAATACACATATATGTCCACAGTGGTCACCCTGGAGGTTATGATGGAAGGTCAGTCCCTCCATACCCATTCCCTCAAGGTAAAACTTTTCACACTGGTCTGATATTATTACTACACACAAAGAACTTCACTACTTTCTACTCAGCTTCTTCTGTTTCTGTCAGTCAGTACATGTTGTCCACAAGAATAAAAGTCCTTGTTATTGTAAATCTGAGCAAAATTAGTTTCAGGAAACGCTGACCCAAGGTCACCACTCTGTCCTTTTCTCCCTCAACCTAAGGAGCTTATCCTCCACCCATGTCTGGAGGTGTGCCTCCGCCCTGGCCCCCAATAATAGACAACTCTAAACCCTGGGATTATTATTCCCGTCGGGACGAGAAAAGAGACAAGGAAAGAGAGAGGCCAAGAGAGAGGACTCATGAGCGGGACAGAGAGAGGGAGCACAGTCCCTCAGGCATGAGCTACACCAGGTGAGACTGACACGGTCAGAAATGTAAATGTACACATCGCAAAATGTACCGGAGTGAACCTTGACATGCACGTATCATGAAGTAAAATCTCTTGTCTCACATTCTTGTTTTGATTTAAAAATGTATAAGCGATGAAGAACGCTATCGTTACCGTGAGTACCAGGAGCGGGAACGCCATCGTGAGCGGTTGAGTCGAGAAAAAGAAGAAAGACACAGAGAGAGGCGGCACCGAGAGAAGGAGGAGGGACGCCACAAGTCTTCCCGCAGGTAATAAAAAACAACAAAAACTCTTGAATGCCTTGTACATAGAACTCATGACAATTTGGTGATCAGAATAGGTTCTTAATAGAAGAACTGGACAGGAGGAGAATCTGAAGATTAGACACATACAAATAAAAGTTTGCAATAAAAATCAAAGTTGTTACACTGAGCCAAAAATGTGTTCACTTGTCACTCCTGATATTAGTGTTCACAGTGATTACATATGGTTTACCGTAGGTTACATGTTAACTGCTCACTTTAGTTTCTGTTTGCTCTTTTTCTTTAATTAGCAGCAGCAGTCGACGGAGGCACGACAGCGAGGAGGGTGACAGCCATCGAAGGCACAAACACAAGAAGAGTAAGAGGAGCAAGGAGGGCAAGGAGGCCAGCGAGGAGATGGGTGCAGATCAGGAGAACCAGGAGGCCATGGAGTAGTGATTGCTTCCTTCACTTCCCCTTTTTCTCTTCTCTTTCTCCTCCTGTGATTCTTTGTCCATTTTGGTCCCCTTTGTCTCTTTTTGTCCCTTCATTCTGTCATCAGGATGTTAAAGAAAAGTGCAATAAGCACAGACCAGCAAAACCAGAGCTGCGCAGTGATCGATGTGTCCTATCATTGCCCCTCACATTATTCTCCACCCCCGCCCCCCACCTCCCTGCTGTTGTCCATTCTGACCATCATTTCAGGGAAGAGGTGGAGGAGGAATGTCTGCCATCTATTTCATCATTTTTCCTCCACTTGCTGGCATCAACCTTCAACCACCTCATTTCTCCCCGTGCCGTTGTTTCAAAGCACGGCTGCAGTAGTGCAGTCACACTGGGGAAGATTTATTTAGGTTCATTTAGGAAGATAAACAGATTCCTAACTTCTTTTTTTCCTCTGTCAGTTGGCCTTGTTTGTTGTCATGTTCTCCCTGTACTGTATGAATCTTGTAGAGAACTGTGAGATTAAGTTCAATTAAAACAGTTTGATAAAATTGTCTTCTTGTCTTTAAAATAAATATTTCAATATTACTCATTAGTGCTCAGTAGTACAGAGTAATATGTATGGTGTCTTTGAATACGATGTTAAACAACTGAACCTCAATGAATGAATAATAATGAAGTAAATTTGACTGGTTAGCAGTTGTAGGCATTCCTACCTCTTCTGCAGGTATTGTTACTGCAGTGGTTAAATGACTTGACTTCTGCAGCTGATACTGCCTTAAATACTCACCAATGGGAATCATGTTGCCCAGTGTGCCACTACAGCAGGGGTGTCAAACTCATTTTCCCCAGGGGGCCACATCAGTAATACAGTTCTCCTTGCTAGGGCCGGTTGTAACTGTATAAATCACAGGTCCCCAAACCCCAGTCTGTGGACCAGTACCCGTCCATAGGTCATTTGGTATAGGGTCGCAGTGGTACACGATGAAAAAATGTACTTCATTTTTACGCATTTATTTCATTCAAAGAAAGTCATATCCATTTACTTTCTTTCGGGCCTTGAGTTTGACACGTATGGACTAGAGAATCCAAGTACCACAAGTGGTTTGAATGCCGTCAAATAATCACTACTTTGGACTTTTGTCCAATGTTACTGTGTAATAATAAACTAAACTCCATCAAAAGTCAATAAGTAAATATTGTATTTGGCTTTCGAGACTAGTGATTTATCAGTGAACATTTAGCAACCTTTTGACCAACCCACTGCTTTTAACTTTTACCTACTGGGTCCAGTTGTTGTTTTACCACTATAATCGATGCAGTTTATCTTCTTACAAAAAAGTTTTTTCTTAAAATGTGTATACATATATATTCTGTTCAATATAAATTTACAATGTATGTACATTCTGTTTTGCGTTACTTAATGCTATGTAGCCCCCTGCTTGAGGGGAGGTGGACAAACAGTGCATGTGCGGCCTGAGTGGGGTCCTTCATGATGCAGGAGTCCCGTTTCCTGCATCTGGTGGTGTAGATGTTCGTGGTGGTGGGTAGGCAGCATCCCTCCCACAATTCTCTGTGCTCTGCAACTGCAGAAGGACGTCAGGACTGAGCTCCACAGTGGAAGTGTTGCAGGAAGTGTTGGTTCTCCAGGTGATGTCGTCAGAGATGTGTACACCCAGGTACCTGAAGCTGGAGACCACTTCCACCACTGACCATGTCTCCACATCCCTGTCCCTGGATCCCCTGGCTGTATCCAGACTGGGCCCTCTTCACACCAGTGTTCAAGTCTCTCCTCACCGCATTGAGGTCCCTCTCCTCTCCACCTTCATGGACAGCTACTTCCCTGAAGATCTGCCAGTCTGTGCACTGGAAACAGTCCTGCATTGTGGTGACAGCATCACTGCCATACAGTGATGTATATATCAATGTGAAAACTTAGAGATCAGATGGACTCACAGAAACTTTTTGTGAAAATTACATTTCCATACACATGCATTCTGTTGTATCAGCTACAGGAAACAGGTTATTTCACTCCACTGACCTTGGTGTCTCTCACCTATGAAACAACACAAGGGTAAAAAACCTGTGTAAATACCTTGTGTAAACAACAAACCTATGTTAACCAGGCCAAGATAGGGTCAACTGTTCTGTTTTCAGTGCTGTACACAGACTTATAAAGGAGACTGAGTGTCATAGTGTGGCAGGTTCGTGATGGCGCTTCTTCATGTTGCTGTGTCTGTGCTCACTCTTCTGTCTGTGGGACATTCAGCTCCTATAACAGACTGTGAGAGTTTGACTAAACCTGTAGGGATACAGGGAAGAGAGCAGGTAAGACACTCATTCATCTCACTCGTCTCCTCCGACTGTCTTGCTTCATGCACTTCATTACAAATCAACATTCTGAAATCTCACTTCATATGACTGAGATGAACGTTTCAGCTGCTGGGCAGGTGGACATACATAGCTGACACCACAGATGTGTATGGACACAGGTTCGCGACAAAAGTATTTATGGACTCGGGTTGGTTGAAGCTAACAGCTGCTGAGGAGAGTGATGTCCTCCATCTTTATCAAATGCAGAAAATGTAATTTTTTTCACCTCCAATTTAAAGATCGGATCCATATTTTGTGTTCAGGTTTTAAACTGATTTAAGTTTTTATTTGACTTGTTGGTATTTCTCCATTAGCTTTGACCAATGCTTCACAATAAGAGCTAATCTGACTTTAGCAAACAACAAAGTCGTCATGAGTAAGTATCATTGATCCAACTTGCACAAGCATTTCTAGACTTTGTCCAACGTTGAAACAGCACTTTGTTCATCTACTGATATGTCTTCATGAAGTCTGCTTTCGTCCTCAGCAACACCTTTCAATTCTTCAGACATCCTGTTAAACACTGGCTGCACTGACTGCCTTGTGTTATTGTCAGTGAACGACTATGGAGGAATACAATTCCGCGGTCTACAGCTCCTTAGTAAGATTAGACTTTTGTTATTATTCTGTTTATTATGTTGAATACATGTCTTTGCCTCTCAGCCAAGTAAATAACTGAAGGAGGTAAGAGTGCCAATAGGTTTAACAACTAATTTATGTCATATTGAACACATTCACCTCTGAATCAGAACATTTGTAAATGTAAGATTATTCAAAAGACTGTCATAAATAGGGGCACTTTGGCCCAGAGGCAATGTCTCTGTCATTGGTGTGGAACCCCAGGGTTCACCTCCTGGGCAGGTTCGAATCCCTCACCCCCCGCAGAAAGGTTTAGGGGGGTTGGTACGGTGCAATGCGATTTGGGTGGTGACTGATGCCCCTGCGACCCGGTAACGGATAAACGCTGAAAATGGATGGATGGATGGACTTTCATAAATAATTATATCGGCTAGAATAAGAATTTAAGCCTTTACATTTAACTAAAACAACACTTCTGATAATTTGCCAAGAACGGCAACATTCCTTTAACATATATCTATATATATATCATATCACATATATATCATATACATTTGACAATGGCGTACATCCCAACCCGCAAAGTTATTTCAGGGAAATATTTTGAAGTCCCTCAGTGGGAAAAACAAAATGAAGGTCACCCTGGATTTGAATAAATACAACCTTTTCCTTGAGGAACAGTTTCTAAAAATATACATAATGATGCTCTCTGACACACCTGAAGAAGAAGAAGAGAAAGAAGAAGAAGAAAGTCACACTGAAAACTGTTCTATTTGGCTAAAGAATGTAGATGTTCTATGTCTATAAGGTGTAATGGACACACAGGCACTGTGCCTTTTCTTCTCTTCCTGACACACTGGCAATATTGCCAAATGGACACCCTCTCTATCTTGTTTGCTAGCTGTAGAATCCAGGATATTTCATATTTTTACAATAATAAGGACATGAAATACAATAATGTTCCGTTAATTGCATAGAATGCAGGTAATGTTTTGACATACTTTATTTTAGATTCTGTGTAGCTAATGTGTTGCCTGTTTTTACATCACTTGTATTACAGGCAAAAGAGAAAAGGTTTCTGCTGATGAGCTGCAAGAATTTAGCAAACAGGCAACTTGCCTAAAATTACCATCACCTGTTGAGTTTGATCCAGAAAAAGGTACGGAAATCGAATATCAGAGATGCAGGATACATTAAATATGCATTAAGTAAAATAATATGATTTGTTTTTATATAAGGAGTCATATATGTGGTGTTCTCTTGATATCAATGTACAACTTTTGCCTTTCAAAACAAACTAAATATACAATGACAAAATACAAATCAGAAATACTTTGTTAATCCCCAGGAGGACATTGTTGGTATTACAGTTGAAAGAGCATTTCAAAAGAGCAAGATAAATGCATTTAAGCATAAGAATCATATCAATATTATATTAATATATAAACATAAAAACAGGTCATTAATTAAATAATGAATAATAATAATAATATTAATAATTTACTAATGTGCTAACATGTTGTTTAATTACCTGACTGATTAAATGTTTTTTTTAATAATAGAAAGTAAGATGTAAAGTCATATTTCATTTCATCACAGGTTTTTGCCCCGACGAGTCTTCCTCTCAGAATCCAAAGGCCTTTGATCTGAACGCTCTCATTGATAACATCGATTCTAATGACACAGAGGCTTTTGAAAACTTTTTTGAGAAACTTCTGACTCGTGAGTCCGTTGAGAAGCTTTTGGTCCGTACACTGACAAACTTATTGGAGTGGTTAGGAGAAGTGTTGCTATCGTGAAAATCTTACCTCCACATATACCTTGTCTATGTGGATCTCACATGGGATGACATGTGGCGACATTAAAGGGATTTCATACTTTGTGATATATGTAGTAAATGTAAGATTTCATTCTCAATAAAATAGATTAAATATCCATTGTCAATATGATGTGTGTGACTTTTTTAATAGTAATAGAACCAATATCTAGAATACAGCATTTGCAAACGGACTCCTCCCAGTCTGTCACCTCCGGACCTCGCAAATTCATTAAATTGTTAAACTCGATGTTTAAGTGCTAAATTGTGCATTAATCTAAAACCATTTACAACTTATTAGGTCTATACTATGAATCAACATGTTAATAAGGATTCACATGGCAGAAATTTTAAGATATCAAAATATAATTTTCCGTGCACAGAATAGAGAGACATACAACCTACAGTTATGAATACATTTAACTTGGTCAATACCCAGAGATACGATGGACTCACAGAAATGTTACTTTTTGTGCAAATTACATTTCCACACACATGCATTCTATTGTATCAGCTACAGGAAACAGGTTATTTCACTCCACTGACCTTGGTGTCTCTCACCTATGAAACAACACAAGGGTAAAAAACCTGTGTAAATACCTTGTGTAAACAACAAACCTATGTTAACCAGGCCAAGATAGGGTCAACTGTTCTGTTTTCAGTGCTGTACACAGACTTATAAAGGAGACTGAGTGTCATAGTGTGGCAGGTTCGTGATGGCGCTTCTTCATGTTGCTGTGTCTGTGCTCACTCTTCTGTCTGTGGGACATTCAGCTCCTATAACAGACTGTGAGAGTTTGACTAAACCTGTAGGGATACAGGGAAGAGAGCAGGTAAGACACTCATTCATCTCACTCGTCTCCTCCGACTGTCTTGCTTCATGCACTTCATTACAAATCAACATTCTGAAATCTCACTTCATATGACTGAGATGAACGTTTCAGCTGCTGGGCAGGTGGACATACATAGCTGAGAGCTCAGATGTGGATGGATCCAACGTCCTGACAAAACAATTTGTGGACACGATTTGGGGGAAGATAACAGCTTCTGAGAAAAGTGATGTCCTCCATCTTTATCAAGTGCAAAAAATGTAATTTCACCTCAAATTCAAAGATAAAGACATCCATATTTTGTGTTCAGGTTTTAAACTGATTTAAGTTTTTATTTGACTTGTTGGTATTTCTCCATTAGCTTTGACCAATGCTTCGCAATGAAAGCAAATCTGACGTTAGCAAACAACACTATCTCCATGAGTAAGTATCATTGATCCAACTTGCAGTATTTCTAGACTTTGTCCAACGTTGCAACAGCACTTTGTTGATATTTCCCTGGTGTGGGATGAATAAAGTCTTATCTTATGACTTCATGAAGTCTGCTTTCGTCCTCAGCAACACCATTCAATTCTTCGGACATCCTGTTAAACACTGGCTGCACTGACTGCCTTGTGTTCTTGTCAAGACACAACATTGGAGGAAGCCCTCATCTTGGTCTACAGCTCCTTAGTAAGATTAGTTTTTTATTTGAAAATGCTAACTCTACTGACATTATTTGTTTCTGTCATTGCTACAAAGGTTCAGTTAATTAAAAATGTTTTGACATACTTTATTTTATATTCTGTGTAGCTAATTGTTGCCTGTTTTCACACCATCTGTTCTACAGGCAAAAGAAAAATTGTTTCTGCCAATGAGCTGCAAGAATTTAAAAAACAGGCATCTTGCCTAAATTTAACATCACCTGTTGTCTTTGATCCAGAAAAAGGTACGGAAAACAAATATCAGAGATGATATACATACATTATATATGTAGTAACTGAATTATTAATGTTGTTTTTATACAAGAAGTCATATATTTGGTGTTCTCTTGATATAAATGTACAACTTTCGCTTTTTAAAAAACAAACTAAATATACAATGACAAAATAAAAATCAGAAATACTTTGTTGATCCCCAGGAGGACATTGTTGGTATTACAGGTGAAAGAGCATTTCAAATGATCAAGATAAACGCATTTAAGCATAAGAATATCATTATATTATATTAATATATATTATATAAATATAAAATATAAGTCAGTATGGTCATAATTACCAGTATTATCAGATAATTGGTTCATGTGCTAATATGTTGTTTAATTATCTGACAGACATTTTTTTTAAATAATAGAAAGTAAATATGTAAAGTCACATTTCATTACATCACAGGTTTTTGCCCTGATGAGTCTTCCTCTCAGAATCCAGAGGCCTTTGATCTGAACACTCTCATTGCAAGCATGGATTCTGGTGACACAGATGTTTTGGAGAGATTTTTTGAAAAGATTCTGAATCCTGAGTCTTTAATGAAGATGTTTGTCCGTATTATGACAAATACAAGTGAGTGGGTAAGCGAAATGGAAAACTGGCAGTAGTAGTACTGAAAATCTGAAGACAGACCCCGAGTGGCCAAACTCGGTGGTTCTCTGAGTCCAAAGAATTGTTATTTAAAGTATTTCCTACTTTGTGATATATGTAAGATTTCAACTTGAAAATCATAAAATAAATGAAATATCGATTGTTATTATGACGCCTGTTGCTTTTTAAATAATACTTTGCTGAACAAATATTTAGAATACAGCATTTGTAAACAGACTCCCCCAGTCTGTCACCACTGGACCTCACTTATTCCCACCCAACACAAAGTTCTAAATAATACTGTGAAGACAAATACAGAATATTAAGGTCTTTTAATTATTTGTTAGAAATTATCATGCAGAATATGTGGCTTACTGAAAAGTTGACTTTTGGCTCTTACAAATGACGATTTACATACTATTTTTTATGTGTAACCTGGCTTTACTTCCTGGTCCTATATTTGAGCGCCCTTTCAGAGAACATGGACCCTTAATAGGAAGTGAAGTGATTCGAGGAATACTTTCAAATATGACTGCAGATACAGTTGATGCCACACTTACAATCACCATTTTATGTTGATAATTTTACGAGTAGGCTTTTTTTCATGTCAACGCCAAGTGTAACGGGCACCTCTGACTCAGCGGCTATTCGTATTTCCGTGGTTGAATCGACCGCGTTCCCATTTGCTTTGCGCCTGCACTATCAATGGTACGGTACAAATGTTTTAGCGGGCTAGCAGCGGGACTCGACTTATATCTGGTTTTCAAAATAAAACCGTAGCGCAACTTAATACAAATGCGCGTCTACTGTATTTATCCACAAAAATCCAATTGATCCAAATATAAAAAAGAGATTTAAAAGTAGATCATGAATCAGCTACACATAATCTACAATAATAATAATATGTAGATATTTTGTTTTAATATCAATATCGAGGTTTCTTTTCTTTTTTACGTTCGCTTCTATCAAATGGGGAATTATCTCTGTGTGGAACCTTAACCTATTAATATAAAATCCCCTTTCCTAATTACTTGTTACTGCTGATTTGTAATTATTTTGTCAGTGTCGAGTTCAATAATGATTTTATTGTGAATGAAACTCAAACGTACGTTAACTGTAATACGTAGTATAAACACGCAAGCTAAAACAAGTCGATGTTTTCGAAAGTGGAATCAGACGGTGGTTGGACTGCAGTCGGCAGTTCTGAAACAGGCGTACTCGGCCGCCCTGGATATTCTAACGTCACAAAGCCAGAGGCAGCCGTTATCAAAGAGTTGAGACAAGCTAGAAATTATCCTGACGAGTTACACAAGCAGCTCGCTGTTTCAGTAGGGCTTTTTCCTTGTCGTAAAAGTTGTCCACGACAGTAGTGTTGGTGGTGGTGGAACAGAGGCCTACAGTGGAGGAGGCTTCAGGTGTAGAGCCCACAGCCGGCTGCCGAGGAGTGGAGGGACTCAAACGGCGTTTTAATACACAAAACACCCATTGAAACATGTCTGCCCAGGCGCAGATGCGAGCCATGTTGGACCAACTCATGGGGACAGGGAGAGACGGTGAGTTTGGCTAGAACTGGGGCAGGACTCAGAGTTGTTGCTAATGTTAGCCACAGTTAGCTAATCGGTGCCTTACAGTGACAGGGAGCCATGCTGCACAACCAGAGTTGGCATCAGGGCTTTTTTTTAACCATCTGTTTTGCCTAGCATTTGTGTCGAAGTTATTCGATTCGATTCGATTCACGAGTCGGGGACATAGTCAAATCTGTATTCATTCATAGTAGTATTTAAACTGGTTCTGGGCTTAGTGGTTGTGTCTCTCATACATAAGATGTATAAGAAAAATGCTATTATATGTGGTATTATCAAGAAAATGAACCGGTCTAAACCACAGTATGTAGAAACCACCACATGGTACCAAAAGTAGCTGAAGGAAAATTATAAAAATTCAGATAAAGTAAGTATGTACTATTGGTCGTTTGCTGATTGTGGTCATTTAGTCATTTGTGTCCTGCTTTGGCTTTAACAGGAGACTCCATGAGACAAAGAATCAAGTTCTCAGACGACCAGGTCTGCAAAAGTCACCTTCTGGATTCGTGTCCTCACGACATCCTATCAGGCACTGTAAGTATCTAATGTACATATGTTTGTTTACCATAGACCAACTACAACAATCGCACAAGGTTGTTTCCAGAATTGCTCAACTGGATTTGGAAGTAACACAGTTTACATATAAGTCTATGCAAAATGAGACTAAATCTCCTTCAGTCGTTGTGTTGTAAACATGTTCTTGACATCCTTTGATGTAAATTTCATATTCTGGTCTTTAACTTTTGGATATGATGACAATTTAAAAATTACATTGTTAGTTAGATAAATATAATGGAAAGATGTGTATATGAATGGAGGCTATCAGTTTTGACAGCTGAATTACAAACCCTGGTCAACAAAAACTCCAAATAAAATCACTAATTACTAAATAAAACTTTCAAGTATTGCATGACATTATAATATGGTTATTCCACTTCAGAATGACAACAAAAACAACAAAAAGCATGGTCCTGTTTATGTGTTAAAGAAGGTTGTAATGAATGTTTTCCATGACAGCGGGAAGATGTAAAGCTCCAAAGCATTCGCAGCCTACTTCACTCCATCAGCGCAACCTGCTCTGTTTACCCACATTACATTATTAAAGGATAACGTTTATTTGATTTGCATGTGGGATCAGTCATCAAATTCTTTATCAATGGAGCTTAGTACTTTATTGTTTACGTAGAATATTTTTTAAAGTACACTATATGTTTTTCTAACATGTTAAGGTGGAGTTGGATAGTTGGAGCTGAAAATGTATTGAAAGAGAGCATTCTGCAGTCTTCTGTTATTGTCAAAACACTAAAGGTAGTTCGATTTGAAAACCTTTGATAAAACAATCCAGCCAATTCTGCATGCTCACTGCTTCTAATGCACTTTAAAAAAGACTTGTTGTTGGGCTAATTTTTACTGGCAAGTTTTACAAAATGACCCTTTGATCTAGGGATAAATCCCAAAACGTATTTCAGATACTCGTTCTTGTAGTAAATGTGCTGATGGAGTGACCTGATATTTCGTAAGCGGCATTTTTATACAACCAGCCAGAGTTGCGGTTATACTACTGCAGTACAGTTTCCTGAAGTAGGTCAACAATGCCAGTTTGGAGGTATTTTAACATCAGGGACAAAGACAGGATTGAGACTTACTGTAAGATTTGGTCTATAATACGATATGAGCAGTTTAAAAAAAAAAAGTACCTGAGCCATACCCCTAAAATAACTCTAACGAACCAGTGTAAACATAAGGAATTTTTTTCCTTTTTTTCCAACATTGTGTGTGTTCATTAGTTTATTGAAACATGCAAATAGGGCTGCATGGCTTAAGAGAAACTTTGTTTACTGAAAGCAGGAGAATGTGTTTTAACAGAAAATAAAAATGTACCTCTTTTTCAGTCCATTTTTGATGTTTTTGCAGTCTTAAAGAGTGAGACATGAAACCTAATACATTGATGTTTGTTTGATTCATGCAGAGAATGGACCTGGGCGAATGTGTCAAAGTCCACGACCTGGCCCTCAGAGCAGACTTTGAGATTGCCTCCAAGGAGAAGGAATACTTTTTTGAACTTGATGTGAGTGCCACCCAGAGATGGTGTTCTTTTAGACCTCTTCCAGGACAATGTATCATACTTCAAAAATCAGAATTCAGGAATTGTTTGTGTGGAGCTTTTTGTAGTGACAGAATTTTCAAAATGATTTTTAATTAGGAGGGATAGAAACTGTTTCCTGCTGTATTTGTGTCAAGCTGATTCAAAACAAGGTTATTGTTACAATTTTCATGATAATTCATTTAGCTATTTAGCTCTTGGATGCTAAATTTAGATAAGTAAATAATCAAAACCCATCTTATTCCTATATCCTGTAAAATATGATCTTGTGTTTTATTGATGAAAACTATAAAATTGTTATGGTTAAAAGGAGTTTTTGTGTGTGTTTTTTTTGTTTTTGTACTAGGCTGCTGAACATCTCCAGTCCTTCATTGCCGACTGCGACCGCAGAACTGAGCTCGCTAAGAAAAGACTCGCTGAAACACAGGATGAGATCAGTGCTGAAGTGGCTGCAAAGGTGAAAACTCACACTTGATCCTCTTAGTTAGATAATAATTAACCACAACAAGTTTATGTTTGATTTCAGAGTTATTATCAGCACTAGTCTTTTTTGGGCATATTGCATAGTACATCACAAAGTAGCACAAACACTCTCAAAGTGTTATTGAATTGCGGTAACTCGCCATAGCCCTGCGTACATTTTAAGTGTTTAGATGTTAATGTTCAGTTGGTTGTACTCATTTGTCATCTAACTCAATGAATCACTGAAACACACTGTTTGTTTTTCTTCTTTTGTTGCACCTTTTGCATCAATTATCTCTGCTATGAAAAGGCTGAGCGTGTTCATGAGTTGAATGAAGAGATTGGGAAACTGTTGGCGAAGGCTGAGCAGCTGGGAGGTGAGGGCAACGTAGACGAAGCCCAGCAAGTGTTGGAAAAGGTGGAGAAGGCCCGGGCTCTGAAGAAAGAAGCAGAGGTAAGACGTATTTGTAATATGATTTGACTGCAACTGTTGTGGAAAACAAAATGTAAGCAGTTGAATTACTACCTTCAGGATGATCATGACCTCTTGTGGGAACCATCACTGTGGAAAATGACTCAATTTGACCTAATTGGTTTAAAAACTATAACATTCACTGCACATAATTTGTTATGTCTGTCTATGCGACAGTGACGGGCAGAATGATTAAATACTTTTCCGCTTGGTGGCAGCAGATGGCTATAAAAAGTAAGAGTCTTAGAGTGCAGAGCAGTTCTCAGTTTGTGTCTTTCTTTAGCTCCTGCAACTACATCATGTTTTTCAAATCTAAAATATGTGCCATGGCTCAAAAAAAAGTTTGGAAACACTAGCTTAAGAATTTGAAACTCTTTTTAGTTTTTGCAGATGAATACCCAGGTTTCTTTTAGGTTATTCAGATCTGGACAGAATACAAGTTTGTTTTTTTTTTTAAATACAGGCTTTTTCTGTACTAAAATTCTTGTTTCTGCAGGATGTGTACAGAAACTCAATGCCAGCATCCAGCTTTCAGCAGCAAAAACTACGGGTCTGTGAGGTGTGCTCAGCCTACCTGGGTTTGCACGACAATGATCGACGACTGGCTGACCACTTTGGGGGCAAGCTACACCTTGGCTTCATTGAAATTCGTGAGAAGCTGGAGAAGCTTAGAGTAAGAGGTTACACTTGGATAACACTGATTAGATTGTTCAGTGTTTTTTTTTTTAATATGGACTTTTTAACCCATTGGGTTTTTTTTTTAATTCCAGAAAGCAGTTCTAGAGAAACAAGAAAAAATGCGACTGAGAAGACGTGAGGAACGAGAGCGTGACTTTGAAAGGGAGCGACAATGGGAGGTTGATCGGGAGAGGGAGCGAGAGTGGGAGAGAGAGAGAGAGCGAGAACGAGAGAGAGGGGAGAGGGAACGCAGGAGGTATGAAAAATGAGCAAGTCTGGCTTCACTGTCCCTCTCATCAATCTCTGACTATATGTGTCAGGTCTTTATGGGTCTTTACCAAAAAAATGGAGTAGGAAACCACTGCTATTTATAAAATTATTATATTTTTTTTATTAATTAATTATTAATATTTTAAACACGTTCAAGCTACATTGAATAACCTTACCATTTATAAACAGGCCTTGTCAACTGATACCACCACCATTGTCAACATTGTTTGTCAATATCTTGCAAAAAGCTGTTGGTAAAATCACTTTTTAACACAACTGCTTTGTAGAATAGTTGTAGAATAATAGTTTTGTTTGTGTGTTGTTTAAATCTTACCTGCCCTCGTATGTATTGGTTGTCATCTAAAGGCCTCAACCTTTCTTGTTTCCATTGCAGGTCCAGATCTAGAAGTGGAGAACGTTACAGGTGTGTATGTGTACACAGGTTTGTCCTTACTCATCTAGTATTAGAAGGATTAAGAAAATTGCAGGCAGTGGAACAACAACAAGAAGAGACAAAATCTTGGTCTTAGAACTGCCACGACTAGAAAGTACCATACCCATGACAGTTTCTGTCATCAGGTCCCTGGTCTTTTTGACGAACCTTTCATTCATCACTTATTCTTTCCATCTATAGAGATGGAGGAAGTTCCACTTCTCATCACTCCAGGCGCCACCGCTCGTCTCATTCCAGAGAAGAAGGTGGGGATAGAGAGAGAGAGAGAGACAGAGAGAGAAAGCATCGACACAAGGACAGACATCGCTCACGATCCCACTCCCACAGGCACAAGAGGAAGAGGTGATGCTTTTCTCCCTTTACTGAAACTGAACTCAATGCTCTATGTCAGTGGCTCTCAAACTTTTTATACTCTGTGCCACCTGAGAAAACATTTTTTAGGACGTATCACTAGAGAGCGCTCAGTGGTACACATACCACAGTTTGAGAACCAATGCTCTAAGTGTTAGTACATTAGGTTTTTTAAGAGGAATTTGTAGGCATATGCAACAGTTTAAAAGCTCATTTCCAAATATTTTGCTCTTTTTATTCCATTTTCATTCATCTACAGGTCGTCCAGAGACAGATCATCACACACCCAGGATAAAGAGCGCTCAATGTCCCAGGAGAGGTGTAGAGAAGTAGGAGGAGAGGGATGGCGTGAAGACAGGGCTGAGTTCGAAAACTGGGAAGACAGAGGCAGGTCCACTTCCCCCGACACAGGCAGGGGAAAGGAGCAAGGACAATCTCCGTTGTTTGAACGCAACCAACGTTCTAGTTCTGAAGAGCGTGAGTCTGGGGAGATATAGAGAGGACAGGAAGTCTCCTCAGTCTAATGTTCAAAGACAGGAGCATGTTAGTTCAGCCGTGAGAGAGAGTGTGTGTGTGTCTCTGCATGTATGTGTGCAGGTGTGCCGGGATCAGCTTTGTATGTGTTGTTGATGAAACACAAATGCTTTTTGGTGGTGGTTAAGCAAACAAAGCAACTTTTATAAAAACAGAAGTTGTAAGACTTAGGTTTACTGGAAAAAAGTACTTAAGATATTTTTTTAGCATCTTCTCAGTTCTATGTACAAATGAGAGGTGTTACAAATCCACACTTAGTCTGTTTTTATTTTACTCATTTTTTAAAATTTGTTTGAATATCATCTTTTACAGTTTTTTTCCCTGTTTTGTCAGCTTTAGTTGCTGTGGAATTGTTTCTGCAGCTTTGACTGTTGCATCACCTTTACAGTGGTTTCTGAAATGGGCTCTGAGTGATTAAAGGCATCTTCCATGTTTGTTTTATTCCCTGCCTTCTGACCATCACGGTCTCACTCGGGAAGTCAGATTGACTTTCCTGTGTGTGACTTTAGGAATAAAGCTGTTCTTTCAGAGTAACTCAAAGTCCCATCAACCATATCCTCCTAATCTCTTGGTTTATAACATGTGAAGGAAAGTGTAATATGTACATACAGTAGCTATAAACCCGTGGCTTAAACCTCCAAGGTGTGTCCTGCTTGTTGTCATGAAACCCAATATGTACTTTTTATGGTACTGGTATCATGAATAAAATGTTATATATTATATACAATTACATATTGTTAAGTATTATTGAACGGTGCTTGGTTCATTATGCCATAACAAAACCTTACCTGACAGACAATAAACCAGAGTTGTGTCTGATATGCGTAGTCTCACATTAGTCAAAAAAGGTACTTGTAAATATTGCAAAAGAGCCTCAATATGAATATGGAAATATTTTTGAATCTTAGCTGCAGCTATTATATACTGTACATATATACGTAAGCAAAATAAGTAACAAAGCAAAGATAACACCACAAAAGTTTAAAGTCCTTCTTAGCCAAATACGTACGTACTTTACTTTCAACTGGTGTGTGTAAAAACGGCAATGAGATGCGTAACACAACTTAGTAGTTAATGTTCCTTTTGTTATTTGGTAAATGAACAATTTATGGGATTAATTCGTTTTTTAAATCTGCCATGATCCTCAGCGCACAACGAAGTTCTGAGGTGTACTACGCCTGACTGTCTGTAGATGGCAGTACACAACCGGACGTGAAGGAACTGTACGTCTTGACGTCAATTCTTACGTTCAGAAAACAGGCGCGAGGGAAGTTTGTTTGTCCTGATCACATTTGCAGATGTATTCTTTTTTTTGAGCGTCATCTTTGTAAACTCGTAGAATGTCGATATTAAAACCTTTCAATAAATTGCCTAGTCTGAACTCAGCGAGCATCTTGGTGAGCTATTTGTTCGATACAGCGTGCTTGTTCTTTGTGGCTTTAAAATTTAATTCATTTACACACGTAGTATACGTGTAGTTTCCTATTTTGTACAGTGTTTGGAAATGTATTACATATACTTAGCTTAGCTGAACAGAGTTAGCCTGTGTCGATATATTTTAATGTTAGTATTTGGGACAGCGGTTTTGGAGTAGACAGACGTATCGACTGTGTTTAGTTGTACACACTTTTACAGACTATAATGTCATATTTAACTTGGTAACATAGATTATTAACACATTTAGTGATGTGTACTTCATGGCACAGGTTATAGTATATTTTCCCCTGCAGCTGGTGGAGAACGAGGAGCAGTTCCAGCAGAGTTTAGCAGAAGCTATCGTAAAGGATACGGATTTCACGGTCAATGTGTGAGTTTCTCTGCTCGATTTCATCTATAAGTAAAAAAGTCAGCCGACAGAAGTTAATCAGCAAACCCCGACGTAATTTCTTGATGAATTTAAGGTCGCATAACAGAGTGGGGGGAAAAAGGACAAAATTCTCCTCTCTTCTCTGACACCGGGCAAAACCAAAACATTTCTTTCTGAGCAATAGGGGGCAGCAACTTACATGTTGTAACTATGAAGGATGATCATCGTTCAAAGCATTTGAGTGTCTTGAACATTTTGACAATTAATAATAACACTTTACCTGTTACATATACGGTAGAATTGCATTCACGTGTTGGTGCAGGTGCTTGAAGAGAGTTTGTTTTGTCCAGGACCACGCCCTGGTTTACACTACCTGGCGTCAAAATCTTGATTTCACTTTTAAAATTCGACTAATTTAAAACTTGTCTGCATGTGTGTGTCACTGTGTTAATTTATAATTGTATTTGTTTTAATATGAAATGCTTGAGCTTGCTTAACTAAAATGTTTCCAAAATCTCAAAAATAATCTCAAGAAAATGTGTGACATTTGTTTGTTTGCTTGTTGTTGTTTTTTAATTAGGACAAAATACAATTTTCTGTTAAATTAAAATATACACACTGGCTCCTAAATTTATTCCGATCACACTCCCACTACCATTTACCATCTGTAACATCACTGGTCTTTTACTTAAACAAAGCATTACTGCACTCTTTATCCTGATATTTGTTTCCATCAGGAGACTGGCCAAATATCTCCCTCTGCCCATAGAGAACGAGGAGACACGACCAAGAATTGACCTGGTTGTATTCATCATTAACCTGACCTCAGAACTAAGGTAATTCGTGCTTCTCTGGTTGTATGTTTTCTCCTTCTGACCACATGCACACACACTGCTGTTGCCCAATAATCCCCCCCCCCACACACTACAAGACTTAATTTGTCACAATGATACAACGTACATGGTGTGTGGTTATATTACCAACTTTATGACTTGTATTGTTTGTTTGTTTTTTCTTTCCACTAGTTTAAAGTCAACAGAAACATCACTGAAATACCTGGATCCTGCATATTTTCTTGGGAAAGTTTGCTTCATGGTCACCAGTGGTATGGGAATAAATCCTAAAGGGATATTCATTATTTTTCTTAATAGTGTCTTTATTGTCTTAATATATCTTCTTATATAATACTGTTCATATAATTTATGTATTATATTAAATGCAAGACCTTGTTGACAAATCATGCTTTCACAACAAGTTAAAATGTTTAGGGGGTTGTCACATACAGAGCAATAAAAATATATTATTACAATATAAATATATCAAAATATATTTTAAAAATTTGAGGAAAAGAATTTTAGAAAATTGATAACTCAACCATGACCCCACTGCAGTACCACCATGGAACTCCGGTGGAAGTCAAGTGTCAAGTGTGTGTGTTTGTTTGAGGATTTGTGAACAAGACACTGTATGTGTGTATAGAGTAAACACTAATGTTGATCTACATTGTGAAATGGAATTAGTGATGTTACCTATACAAACATACTTATGCGATGATGATGTTGTTCCTAAATCACGTCACAATAAAAAAGTGAAGAAAAAAAAACACAACAAGAGTTTATGAACCAGCACTCGCTCAGAATCTTCAGCTGCTCTCACTCTGCTCTGTCTGACGTGTGTTTTTATTTGTGTGTCTTGTAGCCCGCGTTTCCTCGGTGCCTGTGGAGCGTCTGGATGCAGTCCGTAAACTTGCTGCTTTCAATCACAGCGCGCTTCTCTTTGCAGAGGACCAGGTCAGTTACAAGTCAAGTGAAATTTGTGTTGAATTCTTTTCTGTTTTATCAACAAACTGAAAAAGATCATCTGTTGAAGGAGATGAGTTGGTTTACATGTAGCAACACAAAGTGTGCGCAAGGCTGAGATTGAGATATTTAAAAATCCATTGGTCACCTGAGCACCGAGTTTCTGCAAGTGTAGAGAAATGTCACTATAACTCCTGAGATGCATTTATTTAAAAAGGTTCAATTTAGTAAGCAGGCATTGCTTGAAACAATTAAGAGATAGAATTTAAAGCTGGCATATTAGTATCACATTGATTAGAGGAGCACATAAAAAGTTCAATTAATTCATAATTAACATATATGCTACATTTGCTACAAATACAGATAATGTAGCTGTCAAACAGTTTTGACAGAGAGGATGTCAGTAGGACAGGTTTTACAGGAGCCAGTTTTGTTTATTTATTTTTTTAATATGACAAAAGTATTATCTGCAAATGGATGTCTGTTTGCACCAGCTATTAGACTGTGGATGTCACAAAATTAATTTGGAGAGCACAGGACATTTTTGTCACACTCACACTTGAGAAATTTGACAGTTCAAACCCACATGTCGATGTTATCTGTAGTCAGTCAATGGTGTGGTGTGAAGTGAAGCCATTTTCAAGTTCGAGCAGCATTCAACTTGGGTCAAAGCTTTTAAAACAGAAGAAATGCATAGAAACAACAAAAATATCTTCATCTAGATTCTGTCTGCTTCTGTATTGTTTTGTGTGTAATCAAGACGTCTTTCTGCCCCTGGATTTGGCCTTTACAGCTCGTTGCTGGTGAAGTTGTCAGACTAATGATGGAGGTTCACACTGTTAAGCTGCAAATATTTATGTATGCAGTGCATGTTTCT